ATCATGTTTTGTTAACCGATAGATCAATCCTGTTAATGCGGAAAAATGTCGATGGCAATATGATCATCCTGAAGTCTCTCAGTACACTGGGAAAGTGCCTGGGCTGTCATTATTTGATGCACAATTTTTTAAAGTCCATTATCGCTTAGGAAATACTATGGACGCAATGGCACGTAAAATTTTAGAACAGGCCTACCAAGCCATATTTGACGCTGGTAAGTTTAAACACTGAATGCATGTAGTTAAGACAATTTGTCATGCCTTTTGTTTAAATCATAATTGATATAATACTTATAAAAGTAAGAGTTTAGTTTTTAGTTGCTCTCGAGGATTAGACAATGGAAGTAATTACATAATACTCAATTTTTTCTCATTTTCACTGATTTTTTGTGACATATATTGTGTTAGCTTAATCGAAATAAGTTAATAAATATATGTGTATGTTTAAAACTAGCGACTCACCCTCGCTTCGCTCGGGTTCGTTCCTAGTGGGATTTAGAAATTTAATAATATACATTGTTTGACCGGCAATATAAGGTATCAGCATGCCAAATTTTCCTAAATTAGGTGCAAAAGTTATTGTGGACTAAGCCGTATAAGCTACTATAGTTTTTTGACTATCCAACGGGAAATATTTGATTTTCCAAGATGAAAAGTATCTAATATGTTGACCGGAGATATAAGGTCATGCAAATTTTTATTTAAATCGGTGTAACACTTTCGGAAATTAGGCCATACAAACAGACAAACTGACAAACAGACAGAGAAACAAAAAAAAATGAAAAAAAAAATTGGATTTGTTTTGTTTCTCTTCTTACATCCCCCTGACTCGGTTTTTAGCATTTTTATTCACATTTGACCTCAACAGTTTTATTATTTGTATATACATATAGGTAGATTGTGTCCACCATATTTTGTAGGAATCAGCTCAGTGGAACTCTCCGGGAAAAAAGTAGGCGTATATGTTGGCAGTTGCTTATCTGAAACCGAAAAAATTTCTTCTTACGATGCAGGTGTCTTATCAGGTTTTGGTGTTGCAGGGTAAGTGTGTTATAAACGCCGAATATTTATTAATTTTCACTGGTAGTCTTTCCATAAGTCATTTAAATAATTTAGTTGAATTTACCGATTTATAAATGTTGCTCTATGTAGATTTTTACTTTTAGCTTCGCTCGGGTCGGTCGGGTCTTTGTGTAACACCAGAGTCCAAATTCGTCTAGCAGTTTCAAGAAGAAGGAACCAACACACATAATAATTTATACTTACATTACTTAATTATAATAGTAGTTTGATAGTTATATTACAAATGAAAAATTATGCCTATTTTTTAATATGTAAGCTTTGAAGGTCACGTATTTGAGTTTGGTTTTTGGATAACGATAAAATTTTCTTCTTGATTCCTTTAGTATATTTTTTTATTTTATGTATAACTGAGACACCATTTTATTCCGTCTAATGAACAAATAAATTTAAAATTAATATTTTCACTATAGAACTTGAATATCTTTTCATAAAATTGATTTTAAAACACCTCTTGTTATATACTTTTAATTAAATAATATTTTTTTTATAAGTTTAGTAAGCAGTGTAATTGTTATAATTGATTGTTTTACAGATGTAGTAAATCCATGTTTGCAAATCGAATCTCGTACTGGCTGAATGCCAAAGGACCAACTATGGCTATAGATGAAGCTTGCTGCAGTTCTACTCGTGCACTCGAGCAGGCTTGTGATCTAGACTATATTGAGTCAAGTCAAGAATGACATAGAATTAAAATTTACTAAGCCTATGTGACTATCATGTTACAAAAAAAACAATAATGTCTAAATATAGGTATGCTAATTCAAGTTATTTGTATTCAACATTTTCAATGCCAATGCATTGTATTGCACTTACATTGTTTAGCTAAAGTGATTGTTTGTTTCTATGCACTTATCTCTATTATTATATTTAATTTAAATATAAACTTTTTTTACAAATTTTATAATGTAAAGATGAAAAGTATCGGTGTAATATGTACAGGTCACTGTCATGGATTTGTGCATCTCTGAGTTGGCCAACGTCATGGGTCGTATCAGAGGCATGTTGGTTGATTAACGTCATGAATCAGCTACTGTGTTATTATTCCGTCTTTTCTATAAAGGTTGATCAATGTCATGGATCAGCAAAATATATATTTTTTTATAGTTAAGTAGGAAAGATCAATGTAATGGATCTATCGAATGAAATGGCTTGGGATTATATTGATTAAAGTCATGATGATCGGATAGATATTTGTATATTTATTATTTGTAAAAGATTTACTCAGAATATAATATTTATGTGTTATATTGTGAGGAATTAAAATTAAAGTAGAATCAAGCTGATTGAAATGAATGTTTAGCTTTGTTGAATTTAGTAAAGTTAAGAGTAATTATCGATTATTGAATATGTTTATTTTTGCTTCTCTTATGTTTATTTTGTTATCTATATTTATTACGAGGGACTCGTATTAAATTTGGAGGCTATTGGATGGTCGAGTTGTTATCAACTTTACATATTTTTAGTGTTTAATAGAGCGGAAATGTGCAATCTATACTTATTATAAAAATAAGTCCCCCGGCCGCGTCTTTCTGTCCTCCTGTCTGTCCTCCTGTCTGTCTGTACGCGATAAACTCGAAAACTACTGAACGGATTTTTATACGGTTTTCAACAATAGAAAGAGTAATTCTTGAGGAAGGTTTAGGTATATAATTTATTATGCTTTTATGTAAATTAGCTGAAATACGGCGACAAATGTTGAAGAGGTCGCAAAAAATCTCGCCAAATGGGAACTTTCCACGCGAACGCCGCGTAAACTAGCAAAGATACAGTTAAGTAATGTACTAGAGAATTCAAAATCTATAAAAATGCTACAAAAAAGTCCGCGATAGCATATCTCTATCTCTTACGGTTGACTTACAATAACCACTTTTATGTTAACATTTTTAATTAAAAACATTACGTTATTTTCAAAGTTATTTTCTTTAGTTCGGTATTAATCCTTATCCAAATGAATATTTTAGTTAGCTTAGTCATTTAATGCAGATTAAAATTGCTCTTTACACTAAATCAATCAGATGAATAGTTTTTGAGATATCGTTGTTAGAAGTAATTAGTAGCGAAACATTTTTAATGCTTGGCGAGCATTGAGATGCCTACGGCGAGTCCATCCCCTCTGCCCCGCATCGCTCGACCGCCTGCTCAAGCTATATAAACCGGGCGATGTAGCGCGCGATCCTAGGATACTTTTTACCGCGGGAAAATATCTTATTTCTGAGGAAAAATACAAAAACTGCAATGTAAGAGTATACTAATATGTAACACCTAAGAATTTAGTTTTTGGTCATCTGAACGCGGGCGGAGCCGCGGGCAATGCTAGTATTATATAATATGTATAATAAGATCACGAAACTATATACATTATGAATATTTTGGTATCTCAATTGACACTTTCCGCTCAGAATTAAATAATTATTTCATTAAGAATATATATATAGTATTTTGACTCGAAATTGAAGATAATAAGAGTCGGAAAACAATTGCCATCCGTTGCCTAGATTAAGATTATAATAAAAATGTCTTTAAATTAAAATTCTAATCTAAAACATTAATAAAGTAAAATGTAATGCTGAATTAAAAAGTTTTAAAGTGTTGTGCAATCTGAGACTATAAGTTTTTTACGAAGAATGCGTTTAACAAGAAATACTAATAAATGCCTTGAAAAGTCGACTTCTCATAGAGCTAGAAAGATCGTTGTTTGATGTTAACGGTTTGACAATATAGTCTAATTATGAAAAAGTAGGCGCGAAAAAAAATATGAGTGCTCCTTCATAAGCTTCTAAAATGCCCGTTTTATAGTACGTGTTTAAAAGTAGTTTTCATTTATAAATAAAATGAATAAAAGAGATACTTTCTCTATTTTGATATTCATTATTTGTTTGCCATTTCTGTTGCCAAGCAACCATCAGGAATCTATGACAAAAAAAAGAATTGATGAGCACAGGCAGCATTTAATTTTCTATATTTGAATAGTCTACAGTAGTCAACGGATTTCTTTTAATCTGTACTAATATTATAAATAGGTAAAGTTTGTGAATTGTGATTTTGTGAAGTTGTAGGGGGTAACTTCTGGATTTACTAAACCGATTTAGATGAAATTTGGTAAGAACTTACTTTGAGACCCTGGGAAGGACATAAGACATGGATTTTTATCCTGGAAATCATCCCTTAAGGGGGTGAAAAAGGGAATGACAGTTTGTATTGAGAGGCAAGCTAGGGACTAGGGAACCCGAGCGAAGCGAGGGTGAGTCGCTTGTGATAAATAACAAGCTAAAACTTCTTGAATAGCTTCATTTTGGCGAGACGCCCAACTATTCTTTCTACGATAATTTAATAGTGGTAGATACAATTGTGGATTGATACAGAAAATGTCAAAACGGTGAAAGTGTAAAAATTATTATGAGGTTATTTTACGATTTTAATCTTGAGATAAGCCAATCTTAAATAAGAAAAAATGTTGTCCTACAAATCAGATGGTTTCGTTCAAATCGTCCCTCTCTTCGAACTTGTTAAAATAGCAACGTCATAAAATTTATGAATAACGGGCTAATTCTCATAGTATTTATTATTAAAAATATGTTCTAATCATCCTACAAATAAAATGGTAGAATTTCTGAGACCTACTCTCGGATTTGTCTTCCCCATGATCTGTAGACCAGAAGCTTTATGCCGTATACATTATTACATGTAATAAATTTCTTTCAAGATCAGTACCTCTGGAGTCTCATAATCTCTTTATACTTTAAAAAACTGGTAGTAAAAGAATTTTTATTTTGCAAGTAGAAGAATTGTTATAAAACTTAAAAACAGAGGAAGGTTGTAAAAAACACTCATAGAAGATATGTTTTAATTTATTAAATAACAGAGCTTAATTAATCCAAAAACATTAATCAACATTTGTTTCTCTTCGGTCATGCTTAATCTACTACAGATGACATTATTGCGTCAGCATTAGTAATGTACGATTCGCACAAATTTCTTTTATCAAAAGCTTGCAGAATGTCTTCATCAAGGTGATGATTAACTATCGCACTGCAACGTAAGTCATAGGCAGCATAAGCGAAAGGAGATTCTAACTGATATTCGACTACCTTGCGTAGTGAATGGTTTTGCAAAAAATGTAGGTTATTATTAAAATGCCGATCACGGGTTGATGAAGGCCGGATTGATATTAAAAGAGACTGAAGTTGACGTGGTTCAGCATTATAACAACGAGCTTGTACAATTCTTGCATATGCCGCATTTATGAGTTCTTTAGTATATTCATTTGAATACATAACTTGTCCATATAAAATGCGTGCGGCTAGCGACACCTTTTCTACCCACGTCAAGCTTTTTTGTAGAGCCCTGTCTAACTCTTGTGTATTTTCTTTAGTAAATAAATTAAACATATGTCGTAAAACGGCATTTTGTAATTCTTCCTCAGTATTGTAGTCTTCAAGCTTTTCTTCAATTACCGCTTGCACTTCATTAGGAGCACCGCCAATGCAGAACACAGTGCCAGTTATACCTGAATGGTTTAATGACTTCTAAATATAATAAAACTTATATATGTATATATATATATATATATATATATATATATATATATATCTCTGTGTGTGTGTGTGTGTGTGTGTGTGTGTGTGTGTGTGTGTGTGTGTGTGTGTGTGTGTGTGTGTGTGTGTGTGTGTAAAGAAAACCACTCCATATGCAAGTGCTTTTCATAAGATTATATTTATTACACAAATATTTTAAATGCTTTTTAATTCATTCCAAATTTACTTTTAACTTTTTTATTTCTTTTTTATTTTTGGCATTTAATAGAATAATTATCTATACTAATATTATAAAGAGGTAAAGTTTGTGAGTTTGTGACGTTGCAGGGGGTAATCTCTGGATCTACTGAACCGATTTAGGTAGATGATATTTGGTAAAAAGATAGTTTGATACCCTGGAAAGGACATAGGGTCCCCGGTTTTATCCCCGGAAATCATCCCTTAAGAGGGTGAAAATGGAGATGAAAGTTTGTATTGGGTAGCAAGCTAGGAACGAACCCGAGCGAAGCAAGGGTGAGTCGCTAGTTGATATATGGAATTACAAATTTTCCTTCTTATAATATGTTAAGATATAAAAAGATTTGAAATAGAGGCTTTAAACGTAGTTTTTATTATTGTTTCAAAACCCAATTAGCACTTTATTTTTAAATAAGAGAGTAATATCATTATAAAACTACATTTTCTGCAAATATTTTACGAAACATGGAAAGGTTGAGATTTGCCTTTGCAGTGAAACCAACAGCAGATGGAAAATCAAACATGATATGTATAACCTCGATAACTACACCTGAAGGATAAATTTTTGGAATACCAATCGAAAACCAACCTGCACTGCCCCGAACCTAAAGTGCAGTAACAGCAAAAACACGAATTCGAGAAAAACGCGCCTAAAGTTTAGAATCCATAAAAATATATCAAAAAGAGACTTTTCGATAAAACCTTGAATGGAAAGTGAAAGAATATGTACCGAACTAAAATACTAAACATTGTTACGTTAGTTTTTTTATAAAAAACTATAATTATGGCAATTTTAATTTTTTTGCCCCTATTACTACACACACTTTATTTGTATAATCTTTTCAAAAACTGTTTTAAATGCAGTAAATCCTGTTATTACTGCATTTTAGACATTTCTTCCATGATCGTTACTAACTAAAGTGCAGTAATATTATAAAAATACTGCTATTTAATCTGTTTTTTTGAACAAAACACTGATATTCCACACTTATAGTAATATAAAATTACCTTTAATTTTGATAAAAATATGTTATTTCTTAAACAAAACTGGACATGCATTTATGACTATGCTATTAAAACTATTCATCAAAACATTGTACATTATAATCTAATGGTGTAAATTGTTTTATATGACTAACAATATAACAATCTTTACAAGATGTTGATAATCTTAACTAATCCACCATAAAACTATATCACATGTATTTCTCATGCATGGATCAATAAAATTTACATAAAATCTTTCTTCTGAACATAACTAGTTACTAAATGAGTATTCTTGTCTTACAAAAATAATAGTCTGAAAAGATTATGGAAGGGAGAACTAAGGAGAATTAACTTTGGGAAACAGGTTGAAAAAGTGTCCAGTAGTGAGTAGCAAATTATAGCTCAGAAACTCACCGTTAAGCCTAGTTCGCATTGAGCTAGTATTTTAGTCTAGTAGCGAGTAATTTAGTAACTAAACGTGTCTGAACACTAAAAATTTAGTCGATTAGTTTAGTAAGAAATTTAGCCGAGTCAATCCATTTTATTCTATTTTTTTGGGCGAGTAGCAGCCCCCACCACGCGTCCGAGCTCACTGGTTCACCGGCTAAACAAGTAAGAACCTGTCGAATTAGTCGAGTTCATTAGTTGCCGCCATAACATTCATTAACAGAAAATTTACACAACTTTCGGACATTCTCAAACTATCGAAGTATTTTTTGGGATCTTCCAATGCTAATTCCTTCAGAAGACAATTAGTAGCTCCTAGTTTATCTCGTCTTTCGATCCATTTTCTTACCCATAGCTTCTTTTTATTAATCACACAAATTTCCTCATCAACCTCTTCTAAAATAGCCGTTACGATCAGCTTAATCAGTTTATTTACTTTATTGCGTTGTAGGCTGTTCATCTTGCAAAACACCACTCACTTGTAAACTGTACTCGACCAAAGTGCGAACGATTTTTGGTGAGTAGCGAGTAATTTAGCTACTAAATTACTCGCTACTAGACTAAAATACTAGCTTAATGCGAACTAGGCTTTATAGCACGAGCGTAGCAAGTAGATGTGATGTGAAGTTAGTAGTTTTTAACGGAGTGAAGTGTGCTGAATTATTATTACTTGAAAATAATATATAATTATATTGCTGTTTGCCTATGCTGGAACTATTTTGAAAAGTGCGCCACAGCAAAGCGGAAATCTTTCTTTCCTTGTTTAATTCACCTTCTTACTTTTATGACGCTATGTTTTAAACTAGCGACTCACCCTCGCCTCACTCGGGTTCGTCCCTGGATACTTTTTTTTTGAGCGGAACTCTAATTCTTTTTTTTAAATAAAAGTAGCCTATATTACTCCCTATAACATCAGTTACCTTCCACTGAAAGTCCGTCAAAATCAGTCCAGCCGTTTCAGAGATTATTCGGAACAAACAGACAGACAAAAAATTTTAAAAACGTGTTTTTCTTATGAGTACCGTTTATAATTTCATATGCATTTAGTAAAAAGGTTTATTTTGACATTACAAACAGACACTACAATTTTATTTATCTGTATAGATGTATAGATTCATATACTTGTTTTCTGTGGCGCCACCAATTTCATGCTTGTCAGCGGTCACTTTTTATACTAGAAATAGTTCGCCTTAGTTCTACTCTCCATATCTCTTTGGTACAGCATGGCACGTCAAGTCAGCCTTAAGCCACAGATTAAGGAGACTGCCTCAAACCGCGATATTGCCTGTCCTGTGTTTTAATATTTTTATAATTTTACCTATTAAAACGCAGTATTAGGGAATAGTATTTGACTTTAAGTATTTTAGGTAGTATGAATTGGATGAAGCAAACTAACTAATATGCAGTAAAATTTATAAATATTGTATACTAAATGGTCTTTTACAAGCAACTACAAAACATCCTACAAGTTAAACTGCAGTAAAGTTATTAAATACTGCATGTCTTATAGTTTTTCACAAGAAATTACAAAATCCCCCACAAGTTAATGTGCAGTATGGAATGTTAATACTGCACTTTAATTAGGAATATAAATAAAAAATATTTTTTCTTAACCTTTGCAGTATAATCAATTTGTATAGAGTCGAATAATACTGCATTTTAATAAGTTTTTTCTTGAATCTCCTAGAACAAACTACTATTTTAAGTGCCACAAAATATGATAAAACACTGCAATTTAGTTAGGAAACAGAGAAAAATCTTGTGCAGTATTAATTGTACTGCGGTTTAGCTGGTAAACATGGAATATTTTAACAGATTTGTGATATTTTTGCTGTTACACCTTCCGAAAAAACATTAAAATAAAATACTTTTATTAGCGCTACAGAAAAAAGAATTAATTTGACTGATAGCTACTAAAATGGGGATTTAGAATATATATTTAACTCAAAACCGACCAAAATGTCTATTACTGCACTTTAGGCTCAGGTGGGCAGTGCACACCTACACCAAGAAATTATAAAAACTACCCACTATGTCAAGATTAAAAAATCAATAATCCCTCCACGACCGCGGACACGCCGGCGTGTCAGTTAACAATAGATTTCTTAGAATTTTAATTATTTTTTTAGAAATTTACCTGGAGACGTTAAATAAATATCAAACTAGGAAAATATGGATAACCTTGACAGATGATATAACAAAATTTTATTTGGATGATGAACAAAGCCTACAGTTTTCACAAAACTTACTGCTATATTGGTAGTCCACAAAACTTTCTGCTACATTGGCAGAACCCAGATGATAAATAAAATAACACCATTCTACACTGCAAAGAATATCATCGCAAATGTGTGAAACTTGTATAAAAACCAAATCAAGGAGGAAGTCAAAATATAGCTTAATGACACATTTAGGTCCAGCAACACGCCCCTTTGAAGTAATATCTATTGATATCATTGGTGTCTTGGAGGATCACGGTCAACAAAAAAGTACTTACATCTTCTGGTTGATCATTTCACAAGGTTTGCTTATATTTTCACATCAAGAAATTAAAGCGCCAGTGAGTTTATTAAATTAATAAAAAAGTGACACAAAATTTTATTGACACAAAATTATATTGATATGGTTTTAACGGACCTGGTATAAATTCCAACGAATTTAAAGAATTTTTTAAGCAAGAAAACATGAGAATGGTTTTCACAACTGTCAATACAAAATTTTCAAACGGACTTAATGAAAGGCTAAATCAAATCTTGGTCAACAAGATAAGATGCAAAATAAATGAAAGTGATAAAAAACAGCATGGACTACTATTACCCAGAACTGTGTAGAAAAATATAATGAAACAGAACACACAGTCACAGGGTTTGCTCCAAAATACCTTTTGGAAGGTTTGGGGAAGAAATCTGAATATTCTACCACTAGAATTGAAGTCAAAATGTACAAAAGAAGATCTGAAAAGAGATCGAAAACTAGCTCTTGAAAAGACAATAAAATCTCACAATTATAATAAAAAGATATTCGACCTGCATAGGGAAGAATATAAATTAGAAGTAGAAGACATAGTCTATGTGGAAAACGGAAATCAACTAAATAGAAAGAAAATAGATGAACTGAGGATTGGACCATATAAAATTCTACCAGACACAAAAAGACGGAATCAAACTTCTACCACATTATAAAATTGTCTCCAGTGTTCGTTAGTAAATGAACAATTACGTCCACGTCGTTAGTAAATGAACAATTACGTCCACTTGTAATTGTTTCTTTCTAAGGGGGGAAAGGTAAAGAAAACCACTTCATATGCGAGTGCTTTTCATAAATAATATTTACTACATAAATACTTTTTAATACATTCCAAATTTACTTTTGACTTTTTTATTTCTTTTTATTTTTGGCATTTAATAGAATAATTATTGATATATGAAATTACAAATTTACCTTATTGTAATATGTTAAGATATACAAAGATTTGAAATAGAGGCTTTAAATGTAGTTTCTATTATTGTTTCAGAAACGCAATTAAGTCTTTATTTTTAAAAATGAGAGTAATATCATATATCTATATATATATAAAAATGAATCCCTATTTCCCTTGGTCACGCCATCACGCGTAAACGGATGGACCGATTTAACTATTTTTTTTGTTGTGTTTTTTATTGTCAGGAGAAGGTTCTTATGAATGATAAAATTTAAAAAATTGCGCGGAAAATTATAAAATTTAAGAATACTTAACAACCATAATAAAATTTTATGGCTAACGCTGGGTAATAACTATTTATATATATTTTAAATGTACCTAGCGACGAACCCGAGCAAAGCGAGGGTGCCTCTAGTATATATATATATATATATATATACATATATATATTAAGCTGTGCCAAAAAACGACGATATTTTTTTTCTTTGCTCTCACCCCAAATTATCTCTGAAAATGTTTCTAATACATATATTATATAAATAAACGGCCAGTATTTTTACTACATTCTTCCCCCCCTGTAAGAAATATAGTCCCTTAAGTATGAGTAACCATGACCACAGCACACATAACACAACACAGTATGGAAATGATTTGATATTATTGATTTTAACAGAAATGCTGTCAAATGTAAGGGATGTCAAAAATAATAATTTTTATGGCGAACGGTTCCGATGTTAAATCACTATAGTAATAATAATCCCGTCGCAAGCAACGGCTATGCCCATTGACCCTAAAGCCGTTTTCCAACTATCATGAAAATGTAAATATTACGGTCATCCACCGATCAACTCGCCACTACAACACCCTGCCTTCGTTAGACGGTTGTATGGATTAGTAGATTGTGTCTATAGTTAACATTGTAAGGTAGTATGAAATACTAGGTTTATATTGTATATTGTTCTTGGTGGGTAAATATAAGTTTTTTTAAATAAAGTCAGTCTATAGCCAATGCTCGTGTTGTTATTACACTGGCGACGAGGCGGGTTTAAAAAAAAGTCTTTTAAGTGTTTCGGTTGTGCTCAGTGTTAAATAATAAATCATGCCTATCGGAAAACTAGAACAATTCGAATTAGATTCAAAAGAGTGGCCAGCGTATATACGACGCGTTAAACAATACATGTTATTAAACGAAGTGAAAGAGGAGTTTAAAGTATCACTGTTAATAACGGTAGTCGGGAAGGCGACTTATTCGCTTATGTGTGATTTGTGTTCTCCGAGTCACCCGGAAACAAAGTCATTCGACGAATTAGTTAAACTTGTGAGTGAACATCTGGAGCCACAGCGATCCGAGATCGCCGAGCGCCACGTATTTCGTCTCCGGCGACAGCGCACCGGCGAACCGTTGTCAGAATACCTACAGTGCTTAAAACACTTAGCGACCACTTGTAATTTTGGAACTACATTGGAGGAAAATTTACGTGACCAATTTGTTTCCGGCCTGGCTAGTGACGCGATGAGGTCGCGTATTTTTGCCGAGCGAAATATTAAATACCGAGAAGCAGTCGAGTTGGCTATGGCTCTAGAGGCTGCTGAGAGGCACGCGGAGGTGAGCGGGTCGAGAACGTCGACAGGGACCTCGGGTGCGGGCAGCGACGCGGCGGGCGAGGGCCTGCATGCAGCGAGCGCGCGGCGCGCGCGGCCCGGCGGCGGCGGCGGCGGCGCAAGCACCGAGGGCTGCGCTGCGCAGCGTCGACGCGCAGCTGCGGTGTTGGCGGTGCGGGCGCGGACATCGCGCGGATAGGTGCCGGTTTGCGCAGTATAATTGTGACGAGTGTAATGAGCGGGGCCATTTAAAGGTTATGTGTAAAGAGGTGCGTAATCGATCGTACGGGCGACATAAATATGTGAGTGAGACCGACAAATCGGAGGACGAGTTTTTCAACATTCAGTTGGCGGCTAAAGGTAATAAACCATATTTAGTTATTGTGAAGATGGACGGACAACCGATCGAATGTGAAATAGACACAGATAGTCGTATCTCCGCTGTGAGTGAACAGTTTTATCAACAAAATTTCACACACAAACATATTGTTTCGGATAACTTATTATTAAAATGTTATTCCGGCTCACGAATTGAATCGCTCGGATATATATCGGTTGACGTGTCTCTCGGTAACGAGAGGGCCAATAACTTATCTTTATATATTATAAAGAACGGCGGCAGGCCGTTACTAGGTCGGGAGTGGATACGCGCTCTAAAAATTAAACAAATTAGTTTTAATGAAATAACGGACGATCAGTTCGTGAGCTGCCTTAGGGAGGAGTTTCCCGAAGTGTTTAGTGAACAGCTAGGTACTTGTAAAAAAACCATCCAATTACAGCTGACCGATAGGGAGCCGGTATATGTACGCGCGAGGCCCGTGCCGCTCGCGCTGAAGGCGCGTGTTGAGCGTGAGCTAGAGCGGTTGGAGGCGGAGGGTACCATATACCGGGTGGATCATTCTGAGTATGGGACTCCTATAGTTCCTGTGATCAAAGAGAACGGTGACATACGGATCTGTGGGGACTATAAAATAACTATAAATCCTAAGTTAAAACGTGATTACTACCCGTTGCCTCGTATTGAGGAGTTGTTCGCGGTCCTGAGCGGGGGGGAGGAGTACTCAAAAATAGACTTGAGGCAGGCTTACCAACAAGTGATTTTAAGTGAAGAGTCCCAACCCTATACGGCAATTACAACACACGTAGGGACCTTTGTATACCGTCGCACGCCCTTTGGACTTGTTGCCTTTGTCTTGTATCCCAGAAAAATTCCAAAAATTAATGGAAGAGACATTGCGAGGCATTCCAGGGTGCGTGGTCTATTTGGATGACATATGTTGCACGGGAGGGTCCAGGACTCTCCACTTAAAAAATTTACGAGCTGTACTTGGACGGTTACGTGACATGGGGTTTACAATTAAATTAGATAAATGTTTATTCTTACAAAAATATGTTAAATATCTTGGGTTTGTTATTGATAAATTAGGTTTACATCCGGATAAAAAAAAATTACAAGCAATAACAAATGCACCACGACCAGATAATGTAACGCAATTAAAAAGTTTTCTCGGGTTAATTAATTATTACGGAAAATTTATTCCAAATTTGAGTATTGTGTTACATTCTTTACACAATTTATTAAAAAAAGGGGTCACTTGGTTATGGACGGAAGAGTGCGAAAAGGCTTTTTGTGAAGCGAAGCGCATATTGTTAAGCGATCGAGTACTAGCGCACTACGAGGAAGGACGCGAACTCGTGTTAGCGGTGGATAGCAGCGCGTACGGTCTGGGCGCAGTGTTGGCGCACCGGTACGACGACGGCAGCGAGCGGCCCGTCAGCTGTGTGTCGCGGACGTTAAATGTAACTGAAAAAAATTATAGTCAGCTAGATAAGGAAGCTTTGGCTATATATTTTGGTATAACGAAACACCATCAATTTTTATTTGGCAGGCGTTTTGTACTGCGCACAGACCACCAACCATTAACTCATATTTTTGGAGCTAAAGGGGGGATTCCACAAACAGCAGCAAGCCGTCTGCAGCGGTGGGCGGCACATCTCGCAGCGTACGATTTTTCCGTGGAGTTTGTGCGATCAAGTCAAAACGGCCCAGCTGACGCGCTGTCTCAATTACCACTGCTACGCGAGTGTGACCCAAGTGACCCAGTGAGTTATGTTAAGCTGCTCGAGGAATGTACGCCGGTTAACTTTAAAGACATTAGTAAAAAAACAAAAAAAGATAACATTTTAAGCAAAATATGTGGTTATGTAATGTTTGTCTGTTTCCGGCGTCTCCGTGGACGCGGCTACATGCCGACTTTGCAGATTGTGACGGCAAGCGATTTTTAATTATTATAGACGCGTATTCTAAGTGGATTGAGGTCATACAAATGAATCGTACGGACGCTGTTTCCACTATTGAGGCGTTTAGATCGATTTTTGCCAGATTCGGACTTCCTTCACAGCTAGTTACCGATAATGGCCCTCCATTCTCATCCCAAATGTTCAAAGAATATTGTTATAAAAATTGTATTAAGCATTCGACATCTGCACCGTATAGACCGCAGGCGAATGGCGCTGCTGAAAACGCGGTTAAAACAATTAAAAAAGTAATTAAAAGAGCGGTACATTTAGGGGAGAATATATCGCAAGCATTAAGTAAGTTTTTATTTCAATATCGTAATTGTGAACACACTACTACGGCAGTGTCGCCAGCGGTCGCGTTACTTGGAAGACGGCTGCGGGGTCGACTCGACGCGTTAGGACCAGACGTGGGGGCAGTGGTGCTGGAAGCACAAAGCAAACAGGTCAACAGGGCAGGAGGTACTAATCGCGAGCTGCAGCTCGGTGATACAGTATTGACTAGGGATTATACCACTAAAGGGGAAAAATGGTCAGAGGGGACGGTCACCAAGAAAACCGGGCCCGTGTCATTCAAGGTTGATGTAGGGGGAGGAGTAGAGTGGAGACGTCACCAAGACCAAATGATACAGTTAGGTAATAGAAAAGAAAAAAATCGATATTCATTGGCGCGAACATCAACGACAGCTAGTGCGGACGCGAATGAGGAACAGACGCCTGGGGTTGATGACGATGCAGATGATCAATGTAGTGAAGCACCCGAGACGGGTGCTAACGCGGGGCGGGCACTACGCTCCCCGGGTCTTTCAGGACCGGCGGGCGAGCCCGCGACGCCTCCACCCCCACCGGACGCTTCTGCCAGAGCTATACGTGCTTATAAAAGAGCTATAATACAGAAGGACAAAAATACCTAAATAAACTAATAAAGGAGTTTAATGTAGTTATTATTAGCAGCAAAGCAACGCTTAAATTGTGTTTATTTTTACAAATATCTTTAGTTTATATTGTTATTTATGATTTCTATAAGTATCTTTAGTTTTTCTATAAAATCTAGGTAATTAGAGGGGAAAGATGTAAGGTAGTATGAAATAATAGGTTTATATTGTATATTGTTCTTGGTGGGTAAATATAAGTTTTTTTAAATAAAGTCAGTCTATAGCCAATACTCGTGTTGTTATTACAAACATTATAGTATATTGATTAAAATTTTACTTCCATACATATAAGTTATATTATATATATATAGCTAAAAAATGCAAAAAGCTGTAAATTTGAACTTCAAATCTATACAACAAATCAAATATTGAAGATAGAAATTCGATTCAATGGAACTTTTTTTAGTAAATTTAATACTAAATGTAGTAATAACACTGGCCGCTTATTTATATAATATATGTATTAGAAACATAACTGTCATATGTATTTTATCATAGTCTCTAACATAATTGTTATGTAGTATTTTTAAAGATGAATAAAGCCTAATTTATAGACAGGCAATCTTTCAATCTCAACAATTTATTCATCTTTAATAGAACGCCAAAATTAATCTATAATATAATATATCGATATCTCAAGCCTGATAGATTCGAAGTCAAACCGTCCACGAAGACAAATGCTTCGTCGAAATGGATACATTGGAGAAAAACCTTCGAAAGTTTTTTAGAAGAATCAAAAATATCGACGCAAGAACAATTGTAGGATGAAATAAAACTAAAAATGTTAGTTAACAATGTATCATCAAACATTTAACTCTGCTATGTCAAGTAGAAAATATTTTCGTAAAACCCAAAAATATACTTTTTGCTTGCCATAAGCTCAATGCACGCATCCAACAGACAGGAGAATCTATAGATCAATACATACAAGCACTACATTTACTAGCTGAAGATTGTGATTTTAAAGCGGTGTCCGCGACTCAGAATGAAAATGACTCTATCAGAGAAGCATTTATATCGGGATTTATTTCATCATCTATACAACAAAAAATACTCGAGAATCTAAAAATAAACCTTGCAGATGCCGTAGATCAAGCTAGGGCTCTGGAATCGGCACAAATTCAAGCGGATAGTTATTCAAATCCAAAGGCTTCATCATTATCTGCAGCTACATCTAAACTCTCTAGATATAACGTAATAAAGTCAAAACAAAAATTGAAAAAATGCTATTATTGTGGTAATTCTCTCCATCCGAGACGTTTATTTCCAGCAGTAAATGTTACTTAACTCAAGTGTGGTAAACAAGGACATTTTGCTAATGTAATGTAAGTTGTTATTGGACGGGATCATCGAAGAAAGTACTTCACCGTGGCGTGCTCAGGTACTTGTGACATCGGGGACTCATTATAAATAACGCATGTGTATAGACTACTCGCAGACCATCAACAGGTACACGTATCTAGACGCATATCCTCTACCTAATATTGAAACAGTGGTCTCTAAAGTGTCTCAATACAACGTCTTTTCTAAAATAGATTTAAAATCAGCTTATCGTAAGATACCTATTCTAAATAAAAATAAACCCTTGACGGCTTTTGAAGCATGTGGAAATTTGTATCACTTCCGCAGAATTCCTTTTGGAGTGACAAATGGTGTGTCTTGTTTTCAAAGAGCGATCGATACTATAATTCGAAAATCAAAAATTGAAGGTGTTTACCCATATTTAGATGGCATCACAATATGTGGGGTCGATCAAAACGATCACGATGATAAATTACAGAAATTTATGAATGTTGCTCAAGATTATAATTTAACTATTAACAAGAATAACAGTGAATATTCCTTAAAAGAAATGAATATCATGGGCTATAATACATGTAATGGCATCGTTAAACCTGATCCAGATCGTTTACAGGCGCTATTAAATATGCCAATTCCGGAATATTCTTCATCTCTAAAACGCGCTATTGGCTTGTTCTCTCATTATTCCAAATGGATACAAAACTTTTCGGAAAAATTACATCCATTTGTACTAATAGAAAAATTTCCAACGAACACGATACAAAAAGCTGCATTCGAAGAACTAAAAAATATTATATCACGGTCCTCATTAGTCGCCTTTGATCTTACACTTATAGTAATATAAAATTACCTTTAATTTTGATAAAAATATGTAATTTCTTAAACAAAACTGGACATGCATGTATGACTATGCTATTAAAACTATTCATCAAAACATTGTACATTATAATCTAATAGTGTAAATTGTCTTATATGACTAACAATATAACAATCTTTACAAGATATTGATAATCTTAACTAGTTAAAGTTAATCCACCATAAAACTATATCACATGTATTTCTCATGCATGGATCAATAAAATTTACATAAATCTTTCTTCTGAACATAACTAATTACTAAATGAGTATTCTTGTCTTACAAAAATAATAGCCTGAAAAGATTATGGAAGGGAGAACTAAGGAGAATTAACATATATGGGAAACAAGTTGAAAAAGTGTCCAGTAGTGAGCAGCAAATTATAGCTCAGAAACTCACCGTTACTGCACTAGCGTAGCAAGTAGATGTGATGTGAAGTTAGTAGTTTTTAACGGAGTAAAGTGTGCTGAATTATTTTTACTTGAAAATAATATATAATTATATTGCTGTTTGCCTATGCTAGAACTATTTTGAAAAGTGCGCCACAGCAAAGCGGAAATCTTAGTTTCCTTGTTTAATTCACCTTCTTACTTTTATGACGCTATGTTTTAAACTAGCGACTCACCCTCGCCTCACTCGGGTTCGTCCCTGGATACTTTTTTTTTTGAGCGGAACTCTAATTCTTTTTTTTTTTAAAGTAGCCTATATTACTCCCTATAACATCAGTTACCTTCCACTGAAAGTCCGTCAAAATCAGTCCAGCCGTTTCAGAGATTATTCGGAACAAACAGACAGACAAAAAAATTTTAAAAATTAGTTTTTCTTATAAGTACCGTATATAATTTCATATGCATTTAGTATAAAGGTTTATTTTGACATTACAAACAGACACTAAAATTTTATTTATCTGTATAGATGTATAGATTCATATACTGGTTTTCTGTGGCGCCACCAATTTAATGCTTGTCAGCGGTCACTTTTTATACGAGAGATAGTTCTCCTTAGTTCTACCCTCCATATCTCTTTGGTACAGACACAGCATGGCATGTCAAGTCAGCCTTAAGCCACAGATTAAGGAGACTGCCTCGAACCGCGATATTGTTAGTCCTGTGTTTTAATATTTTAATAATTTTACCTAGTAAAACGCAGTATTAGGGAATAGTATTTGACTTTAAGTATGTTAGGTAGTATGAATTGGATGGAGCAAACTAACTAATATGCAGTAAAATTTATAAATATTGTAAACTAAATGGTCTTTTACAAGCAACTACAAAACATCCTACAAGTTAAACTGCAGTAAAGTTATTAAATACTGCATGTCTTTTAGTTTTTCACAAGAAATTACAAAATCCCCCACAAGTTAATGTGCAGTATGGAATGTTAATACTGCACTTTAATTAGGAATATAAATAAAAAATATTTTTTCTTAACCTTTGCAGTATAATCAACTTGTATAGAGTCGAATAATACTGCATTTTAATAAGTTTTTTCTTGAATCTCCTAGAACAAACTACTATTTTAAGTGCCACAAAATATGATAAAACACTGCAGTTTAGTTAGGAAACAGAGAAAAATCTTTATATATATTAATTGTACTGCGGTTTAGCTGGTAAACATGGAATATTTTAACAGATTTGTGATATTTTTTCTGTTACACCTTCCGAAAAAACATTAAAATAAAATACTTTTATTAGCGCTACAGAAAAAAGAATTAATTTGACTGATAGCTACTAAAATGGGGATTTAGAATATATATTTAACTCAAAACCGACCAAAATGTCTATTACTGCACTTTAGGCTCAGGTGGGCAGTGCTGTGGTCATGGTTACTCATTTAAAGTAACTCAAGTATATAAAAACAAAATTTTTGCTTTTTTAAGTAATTAAAGAATTTTATAAACTCGATCATTGAAAACTAAATATTAAATGAATCTATATTATAAACTAGAAAATTAAAAGCATACTTTTGCTGAGAAATGTTCTCAAAATATAAGATGTTTTACCTTGATCTTCCAAAATTGCCGCCATTTCCAATGCCACCATTACACCACTTTCATAACCCAGTAAGTAAAATTTATTCTTCAACTGTGCCTTTTTGAGAAGGGTCTGTAAATAACGGCAAAAAATTTGATGAATAGTGAATACCAATAAAGACATTATGATTAATGTATATAATTTTTTCGTGGTAGCTGATTAGCCCATATCAAGGCCTCTACTCAATGTGAAAGTATGTTTGGTTTTTGTTTGTTTGTTAGTTTGTCCTTCTTTCACGTCGAAGCGGAGTGACGGATTGGTGTGATTTTTTGTGTGAAGATAATTGGAAGGCTGGACAGTGACATAGGATATTTTTTACCGCGGGCGATTATCTTGTTTCCACGCGAAAACACGTTAAAATACTGTGGGGGACCGAATGCATAGTAAGCATTTCACCTGCGTGCGAGTTTTATATGAAAGAATAATAACCAGTTGTCTACGCGCCACAGTTCTGGCGACACGTGTAATGAATAAATAATTTTCTTATTCTTTGGGTGTAGGAATATTATTTACATGAACACGCAATTAGTTATAGTGACTCTCGTAAGCAAGTATTGTTATAAATAACTAATAATCCCAAAAGTACAATCCAAAAAAATATTTATGATCAGAATTACTTGAAACTTGGTATCTTAAATAAAATTAAATATATTATATATGTTTAGCTTTTTTCGAAATTCATACTATGAGGTGGTAAAATAGGCATCCAAGTTTGTGTGAAACTATCTTTTTAGAGATTTTTTTGTAGTTTAAGCACGAGTGAAGCCGCGGATTCTGCTAGTAAACTATAAGTATTCATGTTTGCATTGTAATTCATATGCTACATATTGATTTGACTAATTCAGTGTACATATCAAAATTGAAGTAACTACAATGAATTCACTAAAACTTTTCTTTTTTTCTAAAGCTTCGGAACTAAATTATTTACTAACCTTTGCAAATCTGTCAGCCATTTCTTGAATGGTTTCGTTAGGTCTAACAAGGCCTGGCTGCAACACGAGAGCACCCAACTTGAGGCGCTCACACAGAATTTTGAAACGTGAATGAAGACCTTCTACTCCGGGTACCACGCACAAGTACGTTTGATTTACATCAAATTCATCTTCACACTGAAATGTTATACATATTCCGGCCATAAAATAGTCGCTCACGATAAGACTGGTTGGTACGTATGAATAGATTAAACTAAACAAACAATAAATATCAACACGGCATCTAGCAATGAGCAGCAGTTTATGTTACTATTTTAGTTTGCACTTGTAATTAATTAAAATTATTCGTCATGTCACTTGCCATGATTAAAACAACCTAACAATTATAAATAGGTATTTAAAGTTCTTTTTTAGATATGCTTATATAACGACCTCCAAAAAATATTTTGGAAACAAACCCTTTATCATTTTGCTGATATATTATGTTTGTTTAAGTATCGTCTATCATTAAAAACATTTTTCATGCGCCATATTTCTGAAAAACAAAATTACGGTGGCATTATCACAAACGTTCTGTCCCTTTTTGATGTTGATATATTTCGTCTTATTTTACTATATACAACGTTGTTATTGTGACTTGGTAACTCTTGGCAATTAGACTTAAACAATACAAGCGACTCAACTTCGCTCCGCTCGGGTTCGTCCCTAGGCACGACTTACCGGTTGGGTATAAAATAGACTATATATATATATATATATATATATATATATATAACTTTTTTTACCTATGTATGTACAATGCACATACATAGGTAAAAAAAGTTGGTATTTTAAAAATAAAAAAAATTATATCCGAGATAAAAACTATCCTACGTCCTTCCCAGGGTCTCGAACTATCTTTATTCTAAATTTGATCAAAATCGGTTCAGCGAATTAAGCGTGAAAAGGTAACAGACAGACAAACAGTTACTTTAGCATTTAATATTAGTATGGATATATAAAGCTGATTTTTTTGGTTATTCGAACTTGCTTTGCCCTGGAACTACTAGTCCATATTTTGAAAAATTCTTCTTGGACATTATAGCCTTTTTTTTAACGTTGGGAAATATATTTACGCACGAGGTGTGGGACTCACCGGCAAAGCCAGTACTACCCACTAAAACCCAACAAAACCTTCCCCTGCAGACCACAACGACCATGGGGTTACTCCAAAGTCCACTCTGCTATCAGAGAAGTACCAGGAGCAACCCGCATGGTACACCGCCCTCCGAAGTGGGCCACCTCCCACCGTCCACCGAAGTGGGCCACCTCCCTGTGCGTTTCTTAGCTTCGCGCCCGGTTGGATTGCCGGGCACTACTGAGCCCCCCCACCACGACAAGGTGAACGCACGTTGGGGGGGATGGACATTATAGCCTGGAAAGGTCTGTGTAGCCCGTATGTGAGGAGCAGAGCGATGTACATAAATGTCTATAGTCTATATACATTATATATATATATATAAGCTTTGTGTTGACTGACTGATGGATCAACGCACAGTCTAAACTGCTGGTCGTGGAAATTTGAAGTACATATTCCTTATAATGTAGGCATCCGATGAGATAATATTTTTTGAAATTCATTCTCTAAGGGAGTAAAATAGAGGATGAAAGATTGTACGAAACTCTGTTATTCTTAACGCGAAATGCACAAAAGGTGGTATTTAGCTTTAAGAGGAGAAATAATAAATATATCTATTAGATTTCTTGGAAATTTATCCCTTAAAAGAGTAATAGGCGTGATAAAGTTTATATGGGCAAAAACTTATTTATGATCAGAGTTACTTAAAACTCTGAAACTCTGTACTAATGCTCTTTAATACAATAAAATAAATACGTGTTTTAGATTTTTTCGAAATTCGGCCACTTAGGGGGTAAATATGGATGGCTTCGGCCCACCATAATATGAATAAGCAAGCTATATATAACGCGACTCGACTGCGATAATGCATAAAACATTATAGTGGCCACTTCTTCATACTTTGAATACCAATGATAACCTCTGACTACGTCTTTGAATTCATCTTAAAGTTTGATTTGCAATAACCATTAATAAAAATTAGGGCCAGTCGTTAAGAATAGCAGGCATTGGCTAAAGAGAGTAATGCTTCTCACGTGGACATTTTAGCAGAACCCAGAACAAGACAGTACATCCAACAATGTGGTATACAAAGAAGTTCTTAATTAAATTCTAACTTCCTGTTCGGGATAATACTTTCTTAGATTTATGCGAATATATTTACATTTTAAATACAACTATATTCACGAATTCATCGCGGATTTACTTTGATTTTAGGTCCCCGACTTTTCGAATGCTTTACAGCAATCATAGTCACGGGAAAGACTTAGGTGTTAGATGTCTCAAAGGGATTATATAGTTGTTAAAGACAATAATTACAATATTTGTTAATTTTAAACATTCTTATAATATTAATTATATTTTAATTCCTGTTCGGAACTTTTATAGCGTAGACTAAGTTAAGTAAATCCAAGGTGATTGTAAGTATAAATATACACAATATAAAAAAGTTGATTTTATATCATAAAAATTCAAGGGAAATTAAAGTTGAGCATTTTTTTTAGTACACGCAATCCGTAACCGCGGCCAGAAATTTACCACAAAATAAGAATGACACACGGAAAAAAATTTCCCACAAAAAACTTTACAACATAAATGATGTTTTTATTCAAAAATAAGCCTATGGAAGTTTTTTAATGTTTCGATAATTCAGTGTTATGTATGATAATTCAGACAAACTTTCATCCCCTATTTTACCCTCTTAGGGGACTAATTTCAAAAATCATAACTTAAATGATGTCTACAGTATAAAATTTAAATCCTCTAAAAATTTTAAATGATTATCATGATCGGTTTGGGCTGAACGTTGACAAGTTAGTCAGTGAGTTGCGACATTTTCTTTTATATACAAAAATAGGTATTACGAGTGTACCTTGGAGAAAGACATATGATATTAGACTTTTCTGTAGGCCTTTTTAAGACCTACAATTTTTAATAGATTGTTTTGATGTATCTCTTAAGGCTTAGCCAGCGTTAGCCATATAAATTTCTAAGGACGACTCCATAGAACTAGTTATTGTATTATCCTGTAGGAAATAAACCTTTTTTCTGTAGTAAAAGGTGTCTTAAATGTTAGCGCGAGTAATAATCACTATACAAAATTTTGTTAAAATCGGTTCAGTACTTTTTTCGTGAAATCCACACACCAAAACAGACAAACAGATTTTTTTTTGATAACTATTGTTTTTGGGTCTATATTCTTTACATGATTCGTTATAGTCATTGCTTTTAAAAAATATATTTCATGTATAGATTTCTAAGTTACTTTTTTACTTTATGTACCTATACTATTTACTGCAAACATGAGTACAAAGTCCATCTTTTGGTTCAGTAGACGTTGATGATTAATTGTAGGTCAAACAAAAAACACACAAAAAATGTTTACTTACCATCGATGAACTGTTTATCAGTGTCGGTAAGAACACCATTTCGGTTGTGGCAAGTAGCTCATCATTATCTATGTTTGACCAGAACATGTCGAATCCTTTAGTTTCTTTATACTCTTTTTCTATAATATTATCTTCCAATTGACGAAGTCTAATAAAACATATAACGTAAATATAGTAAAATATGCAACGTAATTATTATGTAACTATTAAATCTAGTAATCATTCGGTATTCGAAAATCTTATTCATAAAATTCAATTAGTATAATATAGACTTTATTTGCCTTTTTTTTTTAACGTTGGGAAATGCATTTACGCACGAGGTGTGGGACTCACCGGCAAAGCCAGTACTACCCACTAAAACCCAACAAACCCTTCCCCCGTCTTAATGGGGCGTCGCAGGATCGCTTACGCATTCAACTACGACGCCCCGACGGCAGGTCTGCCGAAGCAGACCACAACAACCACGGGGTTGCTCCACAGTCCACTCTGCTATCAGAGAAGTACCAGGAGCAACCCGCATGGTACACTGCCCTCCGAAGAGGGCCACCTCCCACCGCCCACCGAAGTGGGCCACCTCCCCGTGCGTTTCTTGGCTTCGCGCCCGGTTGGGTTGCCGGGCACTACTGAGCCCCCTCACCACGACAAGGTGAACGCACGTTGGGGGGGAGACTTTATTTGCCTAGGCCAAAGGTTGTCTGTAACAAATTGCTAATTAATTAGCGATAAAACCGCCTTTTTTGCACGTTCTTTCAGATACTTTGTTTTAAGGTTGGACGCAGGGCCGGATTTAGGAGTGTGGAGGCCTCGGGGCAACAAAGAAGTGAAGGCCCCTAATTATTTTCCGAATAAAATGAACAATTTTTAAGTCAAGTGTTTTAAGTATTTATTGCACAATAAATGAAATTATTTTCAATAAACATATGTAGATATAGTCAAATGCAAGAATTATTCGAAATTAAATTACAGTGTTAATGAATGGAATCTTGCGAGCTTTTATCGATGAAAAATCGTTGATAATATCGCTGTTATAGACTTAATGCAAGCATAAATAATATCTATGAATAAAGTTACTTTTCAATTAAGCAAAAAAAGCAAACATCTACATTATATAATATCAACAACATTCAGCAGCAACAGCATATAATAAAAAAAAATCACTTGTTTTAACGTGATATGCTATATGATTTTTTTTTAAATTTAAATATGGTGGACTGTATTTAAGAGTTTCAAAATGAAACTCCAATCAACGGGAGTTTTTCCTTCCTTAGCTTTTCTTACTAGTTGCCTCTTCTATGGCTATCCGACGATTGGTGCACAGTGAGCAAAATCTCGTTTTTTTCATTTCTAATTAACAATCTTATTAGAGTGAGTCTAAATTCTTAATGTATTGTACATTAAAGGGACGTGACTTAAGCTTGATTCTGCTGTTGCGACGCGTAAACTCGTCGTCCAAAACATACATCATCAATTTAAATATTATATTTGTTAGATAATTAATTATTGTTAGATTATTAAGTATTGTTATTTATTAATATTCATATAATTATTCATGCTAAGTATGAACATTTTAGTTAATATAAGTTGTTGTATTGACTTTACTTTTAATGGATAATCAATATGGACAATATATTGTTTTTGTGACAAGGTGAGGGTAATTACGATAGAACCGACTCGATGATGGCAGCAGATATGAATGTTAGATAATTAATTATTGTTGAATTATTAATTAATGTTATTTATTAATATTCATATAATTATTTATGCTAAGTATGAACATTTCAGTTAATATAAGTTGTTTTATTGACTTTACTTTTAAGAGATAATCAATATGGACACTATATTGTTTTTGTGACGGAGTAAGGGTAATTACGATAGAACGGACTCGATAATGGCAGCAGATATGTGAATATGATATTCATTCTCACTCCGATTTTTGATCAGTGTAGACTATTAATAAAACCTTACATAAAGCTTCTGTCGTTTTTCTTATATATTGTATATAAATTTGTATAACTCTATATCAATTTTATTGTGGGTGGATGATATTTTGATTGTGGGTGAATTCTATAAATTAATGATTAAAAAATGCAGTTATTTTATCCATAACTACAGGTTAATAAAATTGAAATGTTCTGTTTGTAATGTCAAAACAACAGTTTTTTACTTAATGCATAAGTACCTGGGCCAGCGAGCTTCGCTCGGAGTTTTAGGCTAAAAAGTACAATTTTCTTTAAAAAAAAAACTAAAAACCTGAATACATATTAAAAACACAAAAACTTTTTAACAAAAAATAAAAACCGACTTCCAGGCACTAAAATGTAAAAAATAAGTAAACGGAGGTTTTCATTTAGAATAGATACCTAATCAGATATTTCCGAAGTTGGTGCCAGCCAATGCAAAGCAAATCTAATATATTTCGATATGTAAAATATATATTTACCTTTTAAACAAAACTATCTTTTCGGATTATGTCGCGGATTTATTTTGATTTTTGGTTCCCGACGTTTCGAATGCTTTACAGCAATCATGGTCACGGGAGAGACTGCGGTGTTAGATGTCTCGAAGGTATAGTTGTTACAGATAGCCTAGCCACAATTAACAAATTGTAAAATTGCACCAAGTACCATACAATATTTTATAACTTTAAACATTTTTATAATTATACATACATTGATATACTTAATGCATAATATAAATGCATATACATTGATATACTTAATGCATAATATAAATTCATAATATACGGAATGAATTTTCTTTCTGTTTCTTCCGGCTAATCTCCGAAACGGCAAAATCAGGCTTCCGAACAAAAAAATAAAGTCCATGAAATTGTGAACAAAATCCGCGTACCTAGGGACGCACCCGAGTGACGCGAGGATAATTCGCTAGTTGACAATGTGTTAATTTTTTTGTAATAAAAGGTTAAGCCCCCATGAGTTCTTTGTTTACCTTTAGTTAAGTACGTAAACCTATGGAGTAGATATAGGAAAATATCATTTTTAAGTGCATGCACATTTGATGATAATATTGCAGACCGTAAAATTATAAAACAAATGAACTCACGCAGAACCAAAAAAACGCATGATTATAATTAATTAATCATAATCCCTCTGTAACCTCCTTTACCTGACTGCGATGAACTGCGGTGAACGAATATTATAGATTATTTATTAAAAACAATTTGTTTTTAATATTTAAGAATAATATAATCATACATATTTGTACAAGTATTATAGGTTAAAGTGAGAAAAAATTTTGGAAAAAAAAACGAAAAAGTTGTCAGAATTTGATTTTTTAAATTTCTTTTGTGGGGGCCCCTCTCTTGTGGAGGCCCCGGGGCTCTAGCCCCGGTTGCCCTCCCCTAAATCCGGCCCTGGTTGGACGTTATTGAGGTATTTTTTTGTCAAAGTTACATAGATAACCTGTAAACTTCCTAAAAAAAAAGACTACAAAATGAAAAAAATAATATTTATAGTGCTATGTGATCTAAATCCGTATTTAAGTAACGCTTTTCATAAACTTATCTGCATACTAGCGGCTAACCCTCGCTTCGCTCAGGTTGGACGATTGCTACGTTTTAAATAGATATAAATAGTTATTAGCCCGCGCTAGCCATATAAATTTTAATTTTTTTGTTAATAATATTGACAAATATTGACATTAATATTTATACGATACTAACGTCACTCAATTGTTTTGCCTTCCCGGAACCTCTCCACTAACACTTAAACTTTATGGTATGGTATTAAAGTTCAAATAGACTATTAAGTATTATTATGAGTCTTTTGTATGGGAGTATAGAAAAGTTTTGTTTTTAGACTTTTTCAGGCAATTTATAAAAAAAATTCCATCCTCGTACTTCAAGGAATATTCTAAAAAAAGAATTAGCGAAATCGGTTCAGCTGCTCTCGAGGTTTGCGCTTACCAACACATTCAGCGATTCATTTTTATATTATAGAAGATGTATGTCAAATATACCTACATGAAACAAATAGTCTTTTTGGATGTGATTTGACAGTTCAAAATACAAGTTTAATTATACACAGTACCTGGGCGACCGAGCTTCGCTCGGGGTTTTTGGCCAAAGGTACAATTTTCATGAAAATCAATGGAGCTGTTTCCGAGATTCAGATTATATATATAGATAGATAGATAGAAAATCGACTCAATGGAACTTTTTGTAGTAAATTTAATACTGAAAATGGCCAAATTCATTCATTTTTTTGAAAAATATTTTCGTCACAGTTTGCAGGACAAAAAAGTGTTAAAAAATCATATTTTCCATGTAATTTGTATGGGAAAATTTAAAATTCGATGGGGAACCTCTTAGAATTGGAATTTTAAGCTCCGCTTTTAACAGGAGCTTTGTTGGGACATTTTCTGAGATATTTTGGGGTGAGGGCGAAGAAAAAAAAAATGATGAGATGATTTTCTTTATTGGCTGTATATGTTAGATTACCCGATTTATTTAAAAAAAAAACGATTCCTACGAGTAAATCCTGATACTTTTACAACTTAAGAGTCCCGTGCGATTGGTCAACGATATTAATTAGAATCGATATGTTTAAATAATAAAATGTCCAGATTTTCCTCAATTGTCAGATATCTACAATGTTTATTTGAGCGATTTTATCCTTATCATAGACTAAAAAAAATATTAGACGCAGCTGTTATTATTATTTTTTTAAATAAAGCAATGTTTTCTTTGTGTAAAACTTGGCAACTTCAATATTTAAGGTACTTTAACTACATATATTTAATAGTCTTACAAAATACTTACGATTTAATAGATAAGACTGATAAACTATTTTCGTCTAAGAATACGTGACACGTATTATACAAATAAGATCTAAATATTTCTAACTTAGCAGGCTCTATATCCAAATCTGCGATAATAGTATTTTTTGATATATCATCTGATATATTTATGCCTGAAAAGATACATTAACATAATTATAAAAATCAACTAATTCAAATATCGTCTGAAAAGTATAATAACTGTTTTAGTATAAAACATTATTAAAGGATCTGACCTGCTTTTAAACTTAATTCATGTACCAAGGACACAGGTTCAGATTTTTTTAAGGAATGTATCAGTATAACACGTTCTTTTAGACAAATTGCTTTTTCAATGGCATCAATGGCATTTACTGCTGTAATAGCTTCATCAAATTCATTTTCATTCATCTGAAAATTGTTTCAATGTTTTTATAATAGCACTACACTATATAATGATATTTTAATTAAAATGTAGCTATTAGGTAGGTAAAACATAGTTGAGGTGTATTTACCTTATGTACCATTTTCAAAGCAGGCAGCTTAATCCAGGTTAATAATTGATTATCAATTTTAGATAAGACTGTTCTTTCAAAATCATCTTTTGCTTCGTTAATAATAGAAAAATATCTATAATAAAATTATTAAATTGTTAAAATGTTGTCTCCAATATCTAATTTCGTTAAAATAATAATACTTACTTTAAATTTGAGCATCTTTGCGATATTAGTTTGATCTGCTCCAACATCTCGTAATTATTCTCACTTTTTGAATTTGCAGAATTTATGTAATATATTCCTTCAATGCCTACGAACGACTTATCTTCAGCTGCTAAATTAATAATGCTATTTAGACTAAACATATTTCCAGGAATCACTTGTACTTGTACTCCTTGTTTTGCCCAAGTCCTATAAAATTCATTTCCATAATTAATTATAATATTTTATATAAAATTATGTATATAATTTATTTTTGAAAATAATTATACGAAATAGGTACCGTAATTTTTCGGACACACAATTTGATGATCCAGTCGAAGAAACTAATATTATCTTTCTAGCCCCACGGTCCACTAGTCTGTCAACTAATTTTAATGCTAGCAATTCGTTCTCTGATATTACCAACTGTCGTAGTTGAGTAGAACAAGCTATTCTAAAAAAAATGTTTAGTTTTATCGTTAGTTTTATCGCTTTCATACTTTAAGTAATAAGACTTCATGAATAAAAAGAATTTTACTTTGTCTGAACATGAGATAGATCCTTTTGTAAGTCGAGTAGTACACGTCCACGATGACGGCTTCCAGCTTGAAGACTGTATGCACGTGTTATATCTTGTGGGGAATACGTCACACGAGACAGTGGCCGGATGTATCCACGGGCAATACCTTCGGTGAGCAGTAATTGCAACTTCTATAAAATTAATATGTCGTATTAAGTGACAGTGTTTGATTCCTGCTTTTTGCTAAATTTACAGCTTTATAGAAATAAAATAGATGAAACTATACACATTAGAAATGAAAATCATTGTAAATGAGATTCACAAAGTCGATTTAATCATTAAGTTTTTAAATTTATAGTCATCTATATACTCGTATATATAATTGCTTGTCCTGACTGATTCATCAAAGCATAGCTTAAACCACAGGGTTAAAAACTTGAAATTTTTATAAAAATTAAAAAACCGACTGCGTAAAAAGCGAACTAAAACGATGGGAACAAGTTGATAAAGCAACATAGTATTATGCATCTGGAGACTAATAATGCAGCTATTAGAAAACATGTACATACATGTACTAGGTACTTATGTCTCCGACTATAAATTATTTTTAGTTTTAGTTAGTTAGACATTTTTAGTTTTATTTAACAATTGCGTATCCTAAATTACTTTAACTATATAAATTCTATATATTTTTGTAATCGGCTCTGAAAACTCTGTATTTTAATACCCCACTCGATTGATTCAGACAAAAAAAATGTTTACAAGATAAACAAATTGGCACATAACATGGGCCATTTTGAATGTTAATGATATCTATATAGCCCATGATACCCGCGTTACCAAGACGAATCGAACGATGCGACGTATGAATCATCAACATCGGTTGAGCGGTTTAGTAATTACGAGGGTACATAGGATCGGATATATAATATACATACATACATACATACAAGTCAAACGACTTAGCGGCTGGCACCGACTTCGAAAATATCTGATTAGGTATCTATAGCATATAAAAACTTCCTTTCAGTTATTTTTTACTTTTTAGTGTTTTAATGGCATAAATGTGAACATAATACTACAAAATCGATACATATGACAACATATAAATTTAATCTATACATATAATAAAAATGTAACGAATTGCTGTCTATACATCGAAGATATATGAAAAAAAATATATTGGGACCTTTATCAACGCAAATAGCACCCAAAACAATTATTGTTAGAATTTTTGTCGGTTTGTTTGTTTATCTGTTTGTCTGTGCGTTTGTGCACTCTTATCTCAGGCTTATCGGATTTAAATTTGGTTGTCACTAATATATTTTGGAAAGCTTCACTAAAACATTTAGTGTTTTTTTCACGTCAATCAGTTCATAAATAAAAAAGTTATGCCAATTTAAAGAGTCGCGTCAAACATTTGTTAAATCTTAACCATTTTTGTACGGGCTAATCTCCGAAAGTGTTGGGATCGATTTAAATGAAATTTTGCATGTTGATATGTCACCGGTCAACATTTTAGATACTTTTCATCCCGAAAAATTTAAGAGTTCCTGGGGGAGAGTTAAAAAACTATAGTAACTTATACAGCTTATTACACAACTACTTATGCACCTAATTAAGTAAAATTTGGAATGCTGACACTTTGTTGCTGGTCAAACAAGAGGTTACTTTTTATCCCAGAAAACTGAACGGTTCCCGTGGGATAGATCTGTTTGTATTTTTCTAGAGGCGAACCTGAGTGAAGCAAGCATGAGCCGCTAGTGGAAAATAAAACTGCGCACATTCTTTTGTCTACTCAAGCGTAGCTGCGGACAATAAGCTCAAGAAAATAAGAATGGCACTTGAAAGTAATTTAAAAAAAGGAGAGAAAGGATGGAGACTAAGTTTCAGGTGTACATAAAATTGGAACTTCAAATATAACGTTGATGTCCAAGCCTGTTTATATGTTAGTTAAAAGCCTATATTAGCCGAGTTACATGATTCTTAAGTCGTAAACATTATATATGTATATAGTATTATATGTGAGTTGTATCATTGTACTCTCTTCCTCTAACTTTGAAAAGATGAAGTAGAAAATGTGCAAAAAATAAAGGTAGTGGAGCTTGCTAAAGGCTTTAAACGAAAATTAATTTACCGAATATACGCAAAATATTTTTTCAGTTACTAGATATTTTGAGTTAGGATCGCTAAAATTTTTATTTTCCATAATATATTTAAAAAATCATAAGACACGCGAACTTATCTTTGCGATTAATGAAGTAGGTATTACGAAAGCATAAAAATTTTATTTGTCTGTGTATAGTATTATGTTAGTAAAAACAGCACAATATTCAGCGGTGTGAAACCCTCAATGCGATAGTCAAAATCATACACATTTGAAAATCATTACAGCCAATAAATTAATAATAATAATATAATAGTAATATAAATTTTATTGAAATACGTTAACAAAGTTATTATAATATTTACCAAATAGAATAAATGTCCAAGAGCGCAATACAATTTGGAACCTACCTGAACTAGGTAACGACCTGTGTTTCAGTTTTTGTTTTACCATGCATTTCTCACTATAACAAAGCTTTAGAACAGAGCAAATTTTGAAACTTACTATATGTAAAATGACAATTATGTGAGCTTATGTAACTAATTAGACTTACATCTATTTATACGAGTATGTATTAAAATTTATAATTAACGTTATTTTAATATTTCGAGCATTTTTTCTGTGTCTATATAGTTCAAATTTTGAAGAAATTCCGATATTATTATTTTACATTTTTATAACTTATGCTATATAAATCCAAATCTCTATTGAGTTTGTTGTACAAAAAAGCTTCTAAAAATATATAAAACCTGCAAAGGCATGTTTGGTTCGTGGCTTAGTACAGACCAAATCTTTTCTTCTCTTGTCTGTAGGAAGTGGGCAAAAAGGGAGTTCAGTATGCTGTTTTAATGAGGCGTGTAGTATAAATACTTGTCGGACCGTTAGTACCTTGCATTCCAAGTAAAGCATGTTAGTGGGAAAGGAATAAAGGCGATAGGTGGCTACTTTTAGGATGGCCCTTTGTGCACGGTCAAGTGGTAGTAGAATAGTTTTCGCAGCACCACCCCAGGCAGTTATGCAATAAGTAAGGATGGACCACACAAAGTTTGATAAACTTGTTTAATTAATTTATAATCCGCGATATCACATAAAAATTTAAAAATATATGTTAATTTACGGACCCTATTACATAATACTTCAATATGATGTCGAAAATTTAGATTGGAGTCAAGGGTAATACCTAGATATTTAACATACTCTGATTTTGTTAACGTAGGATAAGTACATGCAGTGTCAGCAAACGTTGCACAATTATGGGCGTAGATTTTTTGATTGGAATGTTTTGTATTAGTGCATCTCATTGTAAATAATAAATACTTAGTTTTATCTGTATTTAAAGTAAGAAGATTATTATGAAGCCACTTTATTTATATAAAGAGTTTTTTTATAGTTTTAGCGCGAGTGAAGCCGCGGGTTCTGCTGGTTATCTATATAAAATTCAAAGTCCTGACTGACTGACTGATATATCAAAGCGCAGCCTACACCGCTGATCCTAGAGACAAGAAATTTAGAGGATCCTTGTAAAGTATAGGTATCCACTAAGAAAGGGTTTTTTGAAATTCCACCCCCAAGAGGGTGAAATGAGGGGTTGATTTTTGAGGGTGGCGCAAGGCGTGCTAGCGGGAGTGTTTCTTAATTAATTATTTACTGTAGTTTTAACGCAAGCGAAGTCGCAGGTTCTGCTAGTCTATACATAATATAATAAAATTGTAACTGAGCCGAATCTGTACATGAAATATTTTTTGGAAAATCTTATTGAAATAGACATTAATATTGATACAGAGGCCGAACCTATAGTTTTTAGAATTGTTGTCTGTCTGTCTGTTACCGCATCTCGGAAACACCACTGGACGGATGTTGATGAAATTTGGTATGAGATAGCTGATTGTTTGGGTCAACATATAGGATACTTTTTACTGCGATAAAATATCACATTTTTGAGAAATCTATACTAAGAGTTAAAACGTAAGTAGGGACGAACCCGAGCGGAGCGAGGGTGAGTCGCTAGTTTTGACTATAAATTAATATGAACAATTTAAATTAATATTTTATCAGCAAAATACTCGTAGTTCCAACATATATTTTATTAATTTGTACCTGTATATCCTCGTCTTCTTCCTGTCCCAACATTGACAATAAGTTTATGGTGAAGTAAGACATTCCTTTTCCCAAATGTTTCATGCCAAGGTCATAATTTTCCTTAGTCAATAATAAGGTTGTGTCTATTACAATACCTGACCGTCCGCAACACTGAATCGTAGTCTGAAATTATTTTGATAAATGAATCGAATCATTGATATAGTTATTTATTAGTATTCAAATTTAGTAAAAGTTATTATTAGGTATATTATTATAAATAAATTACATATAGGTTATTTTATTTATTTAATTAATAGAAGCGTATTTACTAACATCTTACTAAATTCCCTTACCATTTTTTAAGACATATAAGGTAGTCATGTAGATATACTCCATGAAGATTTACCTAATGAAGCAGTATAATATTTAAATCTAAATAGGCAAAACAAAACAGTGCAGTGTCTTATTGTCATCGGTTTTGTCAAACGATGTTCTTATTTTGTTTACTATCTAATGACTAGCTTTATAATAATAATAATAATAATAGCCTTTATTCAAACAGTATCTCATTTACAGGATCTAATTTAAATGTGGGTTACACTTTTTGTTCACACTGAAGGATAAGTAATAATATAACACTACACTGAATTACGCATCGACAACCCTGTCTGTATGCCCCGAATTGCCAAAGGCCTCCTCCATCTACCTCCATTTTTCTCTATCATTAGCTACTCTTGTCCGTGTGCTACCCACTATGGCTTTAATATCATCAATACATCTTTTATATGGTCTGCCTCGTTTCTTAACTTGTGACTTATGAACCAATTCATTACTAATTTTGACCATTTTTCCTTCCCTCTAATAGTATGTCCTGACCACTTCCATTTTAACTTTTTTATTGTTTTTATGACGTCTTTTGTCTTTGTGTGTTTCTTAATGGTTATCATTTTTATTTTATCCGATAGCTTTTTCCCATCATACTTCTTTCCATGGAGTTTTGGCATGTTTTTAGCTTTTTTATATGTGTTTTTGTGAGTGCCCAGGTTTGACAACCATAAGTGAGTACAGGTAGTATGCAACAATCAAAGCGTTTCCTTTTGATGCTTATCCCAGTTTCACTATTTTTCATAGTTTCCTTCAGACTCCAGTATTGTTTCCAAGTATTTCCAATGCGTCTATCGATATCCTTTGAGGTTAAATCTGAAGGAGAAATTATCTGGCATAGATGAGGTGTATTCATTGACATAGTCAACTGGTTTGTTATTGATCCAAATAGGCACCTGTTTTCCATTCGTCATAGCTTTAGTTTATCATAGTTTTTTGTGCGTTCATGACTAACCCACCTTGGGGCTTTCTCTATCTAGGTCATTTAGCATCACCTGTAGCTCTTCACTTTATAGCGATAGGACTATCAGATCATCCGCAAATCTCAAGTCATCCCACATTTTTCCCAGTCTAATTGACGAAAGACATCTTCCAGGACTGCTGTAAAAAGTTTTGGTGAAAGGGGATCACCCTGGCGTGCTCTTCTTTCTATTTTAATCACCTCGCCCTCCTTTTCTAATTTTATTTTAGCTTTGCTGTTATCGTAGATGTTTTTTAATATTCTAATATATTTATTTTCAACACCTTGGTTCTTAAGAGCCTGCCAGATTTTTTCGTGTTCTATTGTGTCGAAAGCCTTATGTCCACGAAACAGCAATAGAAGGTTAGGTTGAACTCTTTGCCTTTTTCGAATAATTGCTTGATAACATGAATGTGATCTAAAGTCGAATATCCGCTCCAGAAACGTGCCTGCTCTCTTGATAGATTTTCATCTAACGTCTTAGTTATTCTGCATAGTAACATTTTTGCGAAGATTTTATAGATATTCGACGATAGACTAATAGGTCTATAATTATTTATTTTATTTCTGTCTCCTTTTTTGTGCAGAAGTGTTATAGTTGGTAATGTCCATTGGTTAGGTATTATCTCGCTTTACAATACGTATTACAATACGTCGTTAAAAAGATTTTCGAAAATTGGTATTAGGTGGTTTTTATTTTCGATGAGGACCTCGTTGGTGATACCATCCGATCCTGGAGCTGTATTTTTTTTTGAAATTTCATAGTTTTATCTATTTCTGCGGGTAATATGTCCGGTACTTCACTTCCTCCTGTTAAGATTGATGTTTGTAATGTATTTTTCCTTGCATATAGGTCCGTGAAAAAGTAAGTAGCTATTGATATGATTTCTGGTCGCCACCTTTCGCATTTATGTTTCTTATTGATTAAATAGGGTATCCAATTTCGTTTTTCTGTTGTTTGACTGCTTTTTTGGTGCCTCCAGTTTTTTGTATGCATGTTTCTAGTATTTTCAATCTGTGTCTCTGACGGTCCTTTCACATGTGTATTTTGATTTCATTACTTATTTTAGATATTTCCTTTCTTACGGCTTTTGTCTTTCCCGTATACAAAATATTAGTTCTACTCTTGTTCTTATCAATTCTTAAGATTCATTTGTTATCCATTTTGCCCTGTCGTTTTTGCTTTCATGTTTGCTTCTTTTATTTGTGTATAGAAGTTCTTGAAAGTTGTTGTATTTATTTTGTATATCGAAATCTTTTGTATTTTAAATGAAATGTTCTAGTATTTCTTTTAGTGTTTCGGTATTTTCCAATGCTACATTATTGATTTGCTTTGCCATAAAGGTCTTTCTTGAGTGTGTTAAGTTGTAGTTTGGCTGTAACCATTCTGTGATTGCTGTTAAAGTTAATATTATTTATAACTCTACAATCTTGAAACTTTTTACTTTTATTCGTTAAGATGTAGTCTATCTCGTTTTTGTGGTGGCCGTCTGGGTGTATCCATGTCCATCTGTTGTTTTCACGTTTTCTGTACAGACTGTTTAGTATTTTTAGGTTGTTTTCGTAAGCCAGTTGTATAAGCATTTCTCCATTCCTTGATCTAGGGCCTGAACAATACGGACCCATTATAATTTCCTCTTCTTCTCCTCTTTACCGCGTTCTTGCGTTGAAATCTCCCATTAATATTAAATTGTTGCGTGAGTAGTTTTTTATTACGTCTGTTAGTTTGGAGTAGAAGGAGTCTATTACTGATCTCTTAGATTTTTCACTTAGAGAGTAGACATTTAAAATAAAACTATCTTTTCGGATTTTTTCGCGAATTTACTTTGATTTTTGGTTCCCGACGTTTCGAATGCTTTACAGCAATCATGGTCACGGGAGAGACTGAGGTGTTAGATGTCTCTAAGTTATTATATAGTTGTTACAGACAGCCTACCCACAATTAACAAAATGAATTCAAACAATGAAAAATGGCACTAAAGTACCTTACAATATTTTAACTTTTAACTTTAAACATTTTTATATTATTTTAATTAGCTTTATAATTGAATATGGAATATTATTTATTTAATTTGAGCTGTTATTATTATAATTATTACAATTTTAAAATATTAATTATCAATCTACATTTTTAGTGTTGCCATTATTATATTTATAACCATAAAGAAAAAATCATAATATATTAATTAAGCCACATAATTGATCTATGTGTAATTTGAAAAAGTTAAGGTTAATTAAAAAGAATAATTTTAATTTTAATTTGCTATTATTTAAAAAACAAATTATTAAGCAACACATTACTACATACATTTACAAATGAAAAAGTGAAAAATATTAATCAGAAATGCTATCATTTTGATCTACATAGTAAGAACTTACTACATCTACCTGTCTGTTATGTTTAGATTTATTATTAGATTTTATTATATTAATAGCAGGATCCCATGACGATGGTAGTACCCAGCCATCTTTCCTATTAAAATTTGGATGTTCTTTAATTTCTATGGCTTCTCGAATCATTCAAGGGCAATATCGGTTTTCTTTCGCCAGGATTTGAGGTCTATCGAAGCGAATATAATGGCTTGGGCGGTCCTGACTATGTTTGCAGATAGCAGATGCTGTATTACGACGGTGCTTCACATCAGCTATGTGTTCTTTGTCCGGGTTCTAATGGATCTCTTTGTTTGTCCGATGTAAGAGAGCCCACAATCACAATCAACCTTGTAAACTCCTGCATCTTGTAGAGGGATGTGGCACTTGACAGGTGGTAGAAACTGACTAATTTTCTTTGGCGGCTTGAAGTAAGTTTTAATTGAAGCTCGCTTTAGAATGTAGCCAATCTTGTCAATGGCGCCTCTCATGTAAGGTAGGACTGCAGGGACGCGCTCGAATGTGGCTGGTTTCACTCGGTCTCTGTAACGTAGGCGCGGCACTTGCAGCTTGTTTACTCGCAGAACTTGCTTGACATGTTGCAGCTCTCCGGCCAGGTGTTGCTCGTCACCCCCCCTCCCCCCCCACGTGCGTTCACCTTGTCGTGGTGGGGGGGCTCAGTAGTGCCCGGCATCCCAACCGGGCGCAAAGCCAAGAAACGCACAGGGAGGCGGCCCTCTTCAGAGGGCGGTGTGCCATACGGGTTGCTCCTGGTACTTCTCTGATAGCAGAGTGGACCTTGGAGCAACCCCGTGGTTGTGGTGGTCTGCTTCGGCAGACCTGCCATCGGGGCGTCGTAGTTGAATGCGTAAGCGATCCTGCGACGCCCCATTAAGTCGGGGGAAGGCTTTGTTGGGTTTTAGTGGGTAGTACTGGCTTTGTCGGTGAGTCCCACACCTCGTGCGTAAATGCATTTCCCAACGTTAAAAAAAAAGTGTTGCTCGTCACAGATCCCGCATGCCGGATCTGATCCGGATGATCTGCAAGTGCCGCGCCTACGTCACAGGGACCGAGTGAAACCAGCCACATTCGAGCGCGTCCCTGCAGTCCTACCTTACATGAGAGGTGTCATTGACAAGATTGGCTACATTCTAAAGCGAGCTTCAATTAAAACTTACTTCAAGCCGCCAAAGAAAATTAGTCAGTTTCTACCACCTGTCTAGTGCCACATCCCTCTACAAGATGCAGGAGTTTACAAGGTTGATTGTGATTGTGGGCTCTCTTACATCGGACAAACAAAGAGATCCATTAGAACCGCCCAAGCCATTATATTCGCTTCGATAGACCTCAAATCCTGGCGAAAGAAAACCGATATCGCCCTAGAATGATTCTAGAAGCCATAGAAATTAAAAAACATCCAAATTTCAATAGGGAAGATGGCTGGGTACTACCATCGTTATGGGATCCTGTTATTAATATGTCGGAGACGGTCATCAATACGGTCGCTAAACGAAGCGCGGCACGACGCCTGAGTGATGGCAGCACCTTCGGTATTATCGCCAACACTCGGCGAGCTTCGTGCTACGACGGAGCCTAGCTAAGGGAGGGGTGCTAAGAGGGCTGGACACTTGCCTTCGAGCCGAGCCAAGCTTAGGACCGCTCCACTAGAAACTGTCTTGCGTTCCGTATTGTCTATACGTGGTAATAGTGAAGTGGTATATGGCTGTGTAGTGAAGTGCTGTTTAACTATGTACAAAGTGATTATTGTTAATTTGAAATACAACTGTGATTGCATCGACTTTCATTTGAACCAACACTTCCCATATAACGCCCACTGTATAAGTCATGATAAAATAATGGAAAATAATAGAGAAAATTAATGCTGCTTCGATATCAGAAGCGGGATCAGTGTTGGTTCAATTGCAAAAAAAGAACTATCTCTGAGTGAACAATGACGTGCTATGTTTGAAGAACAAAATGTCATTATGTGATCTCTTATCGAGGCCATGCAAATGCCTCGGATGAAGAAGAACATCAAGTTACGCGAGTTTGACCCTGACAATATGGATACGGACGCAAGATCTTGATTTGCGACTGTAGATTTGTGTTTTGCCGAATACCCTCCATACGGCGGCTAACTTATTTTAACAGTCGGTAAGGAATTTAAAGGATAAGGGTCGACGTGGCTATCACAATTTGTATACCAGAGAATAACATAGGAAGAGTTCAAGTTGATTTTCAAGGCGAGATTTATTTCCACCGAGACATTGGCTGGTACGGTAATTAATTTTAACAGTGACAAACCAAATGAAAAAAGAAACTCGTTACGTACGCAAATCGCCTGATGACGTCACTGACTAATCATTGGAAAGACGCTAGCAAGAATCAGATAGCAATTGCGACTGTCCTTGCTCACTTATGTCAGTTTAATTCGAATTTGCAACGATTGGCCTTTACTACGAAAATTGCTTCGCGAGATCGACTGCAGCAGGGATTGCACGCATTCTCACATTTGAAACGCAAAAAAAGTGAGTCTTAAGCGGTCAGAGTGTAGAAGCAAGGTAAATGACAGTGTGGAACGACCTTCGATGACAGCAACGGCATTACAGCCTGCAGTGAAGTCTCTGGTGTGCTTCAAATGTGGCAAGCCTGGTCACATCAGGCTCCGGTGCATAAGAAGTGCCAGTCAAGTGGACGGCAGCAATATGGGTGTAACACGAACGGAACGACGCGTGGATGTATGTGTTGTACAACCATCTTCGAATGCTCAATGGCATAGAGGTAATCTGTATTGCTTTTGTTATAATCATGGTGCTGAATATTCGTTAGTAAGATAACATTTAGCAGTCAAATTGTGTGGTTAACGATTTTGTCCTTGCAATTTCTAGTATTGATCAAAACAGAATATTCCGCACAGAGTAAAATTTGTTTTGTAACGATTAACGGTCATTCTCTTGAATTCTTTTGAAATATTATGTTTTGCCTAATTATTAGTTACAAAATGGTATCATGATAGAACATGAGATATTGAAAGGTTTTCTATTAACATGACGGCTATAAATTCTTTACACAAAAATTCTAGTAGGTCATGTACCAATAGAGGTTGATGTAAATAATGATCATCATGCCAAGCAAATGTTTAAATGAAGTCGATGGAAACCGATGTAAGCATTCTGACGGCCGTAGTAGTGTCGACCGTACTAGTAACTATTACGTAGTCATAGCCTGGTAAAAGTCTGTCTTTTGAGGAAGCTCAAACTATATAGACCGTGGGTGTGTGATGTGCGTTTAGTTCTGGCGGAGGTCGGGGTCTGTTATGACCATAGTGTGTAGTCATCGAGAGGATGATACACACGGTGATCCCGTAGTGGATGCACCTGGATTGTGGAGCAATTGTGATTGCTGGTTGGCTTGTAAAGCCTTGGCCTAAGAGTGGTTTACAAAGGTGCTAGTAAATTTGAAAATTAGTTTGATTGAAGTGTTGAATGATGTTGGTACATGGCTCTAGATGACTGACGTTATTAGTTAGATTAGAGATAAATAGTGACTTGGAGTTAAAAAAAAAACAAAGGTGTAGCGTTAAAGCTTTTCGTTAGAATAAAGATGATTCAGATTCAAAGTTAAGTTTTATCTGGTCAGGATTGACCGAGTGGAGCAAGTATTTTCGTTGATTATTTGGTTGCAGGCTAACACACGGCTAACACACGAGGGCGTGTGCACGCAGGATGGCCGTGTCGGAGACGGTCATCAATACGGTCGCTAAACGAAGCGCGGCACGACGCCTGAGTGATGGCAGCACCTTCGGTATTATCGCCAACACTCGGCGAGCTTCGTGCTACGACGGAGCCTAGCTAAGGGAGGGGTGCTAAGAGGGCTGGACACTTGCCTTCGAGCCGAGCCAAGCTTAGGACCGCTCCACTAGAAACTGTCTTGCGTTCCGTATTGTCTATACGTGGTAATAGTGAAGTGGTATATGGCTGTGTAGTGAAGTGCTGTTTAACTATGTACAAAGTGATTATTGTTAATTTGAAATACAACTGTGATTGCATCGACTTTCATTTGAACCAACACTTCCCATATAACGCCCACTGTATAAGTCATGATAAAATAATGGAAAATAATAGAGAAAATTAATGCTGCTTCGATAAATATATGTAATAAAATCTAATAATAAATCTAAACATAACAGACAGGTAGATGTAGTAAGTTTTTACTGTGTAGATCAAAATGATAGCATTTCTGATTAATATTTTTCACTTTTTCATTTGTAAATGTTTGTAGTAATGTGTTGCTTAATAATTTGTTTTTTAAATAATAACAAATTAAAATTATTATTTTTAATTAATCTTAACTTTTTCAAATTACACATAGATCAATTATGTGGCTTAATTAATATATTATGATTTTTTCTTTATGGTTATAAATATAATAATGGCAACACTAAAAATGTAGATTGATAATTAATATTTTAAAATTGTAATAATTATAATAATAACAGCTCAAATTAAATAAATAATATTCCATATTCAATTATAAAGCTAATTAAAATAATATAAAAATGTTTAAAGTTAAAAGTTAAAATATTGTAAGGTACTTTAGTGCCATTTTTCATTGTTTGAATTCATTTTGTTAATTGTGGGTAGGCTGTCTGTAACAACTATATAATAACTTAGAGACATCTAACACCTCAGTCTCTCCCGTGACCATGATTGCTGTAAAGCATTCGAAACGTCGGGAACCAAAAATCAAAGTAAATTCGCGAAAAAATCCGAAAAGATAGTTTTATTTAAAATGTCAAGTATTCGTGTAAATCTAAGAAAGTATTATAGAGAGTAGACTTGAACAATTGACCACTTATCGTTTTTAGGTGGTCGTTTTATGTTAAGTATTACAATACGCTCTGAGATGCCTATTAATTCGTCAATATACGATTTTAGTTCTTTCTTTATCAAAAATCCTGTTCCATATAAACCTGGTGTGTCTCCTTTGTAAAATAATACAAAATTTCCATGGTCTTCTATACTTTCCCCTAGGCATCGTACTTCGCTTAGACCCAGTATCGACCAATGTATATTTTCTAGAGCTAGGATTAATTCTAATAGACTATCATTGGTTCTTAGTGATAGCGTATTATATGTTGCAATGTAAATTATACCTTCCGTTTGACGGTATTTCTTAGACAGAGTGTATTGTGGATTTATGTCAATTGGAGGGTAATAGTTATCTTCCCCTACGGTGACCGGCTGGATTGGGGTGCCTGTACAAAAAGTTGGTATATTTAAAGTTGTGTTGGTTCGGTTCCGGTTTTCGGTGCAGTTTACTAGTTTTTTGTTATTTCTGATAGTGAAGCAGCTCTTCCTCGTTCATCATAATTGAGTATATTAGGTCTTATAATGTCTTTTCCAGTTGTTTTGGTCGTCAAATAGGTTTTAGTTTTAAGGTGGTAGTTATAGTTTTCTTTTGATTTGAACGTGTAGGTGAATTGGACTCTTCTCTTTTCCTTTTTTCTGGGTTGTCACTGTCTTTCTTCACTACTAATTTATCATGTTTTATAAATGCTGTTTCCTTTTTCTTTTCTTCTTTAACTTGATACTGGAGCTGCTTCCGTTTTTCTAACACTTCAAATGACTAGCTTTAGTTATAATAAAAAAAATGAAAACGGTTGATTTTTTTATATATAGATAGGTAAATTCTATTTATATATGTTTTACTCAAATGTTCATTAGTAATTATGTTCTAATTTCGAACACTGGGCAAAATCTAGTATATTTAATTATACAAAAAAGATAACTTGTCGCCACTGCTTTTACAATCATAAGGACTTTCTGTCACTTTACTCACTTAATAAAACAAGATTTTTTGTCAAAACAAATAAATAAGAACAGTAAGTGTTATGGTAAATTGTATCAAATTATTATAGTAAATATACTATACCTGTATAGCGAGCATCATCCAATTCATTCAATAGCTATGAACAGATATCCAATTATCTTTATCAAAGCTTTCTTTATATTATAACACTAATAGTGCTTTTATATATTATAGGTATACTTACATTTTTAAGGGCACCTTTAACACAGCTTATGATTGAATCACAACCTTCACCCTTTGTAGCGTGAAACACCATATCTCCGAAACTTATATCACGTGAATTTCCAATGTGACTTTCTGAAATACGAAAATTATTGATTTTATTTAGAGAATTCTCCTATTTTCATTAAATTATTTAAAAGAGGATTAATGATTAATACACCAATCATACCTTTGAGCTCTGGGAAGAGTCTTCGCAGGAATCTCTTTTTCTTGATATCGCTAACAGTAGTGAAAACTTGGCAGCCATATGCCAAAGCAATCGATATAACTGCCTGGCCAAGAGCCCCAGCACCTCCATGTACTAAAATTGTTATTCCAGGCTTGAGCTTAGCCTTAATACACTGCGGGTAAATATAAAATTGAAAGATGAAATTCACTGAAAATTAATATTATATGGGATATAAATATATTTAATAAAATTAGGTACCAAGCAATATAAAGCGAGACAGTATGCCAATGGAACTGTAGCTGCATCTTCCATAGTCCAATGTGCCGGCACAGGCCACAGATATTTCGGTTTCACGGTTACATGTGTTCTTATAGATTCATAATTCGCAATTCCCATTACACGGGCTCCGCTATTGACACGACAAAGAGATAATTAATAATACCTGCCAGCCAAATAAAAAAATAGGTTTTATAGTATATGTATAAGAAAATACTTACCTATCCGTAGTTCCACTAAAATCAAAAAGTTGCATGTCTTCTTTATCGCATGAAATAACTCCCATTTTTTTCTGTACTTCAACAGCATTTACTCCAGCGTAATGAATCTGTAATATATTGATCAATGTTTACATTGAAATGAGATAAATATTTTTTGTGTAACAAAGTGTATTTGGTTTTACCTTTACATTTATGCCCGCGCCTCTAGGCTCCGGCATTTCTGTCCAATGCAAGGAGTCTAGGTCACCTAACTGTCTAATATTAAGTTCTAATCCAAGAACTTCTTCGCGTACAGTTTCTTCTGCAGGTAAGTAATATTCTCCGCCCCACACGTCCTTAAATAATTTATTTGATCATTGTTAATTGCATTATTAGAGGAAGAGCCCGTGAACGCCAGACTGGAAGGTTGAAAGTTTGTCAGCGCATGCTCCCAACACGGATAAGAACGATGGACCATTATGAAGTTTAGGCTATGGTGGCTTTGGCAGGTACACGGTACTAAAGGTGTGTAAAATATCGATCTAAATTCGTCAAATAATAAAGTGTGATTTTTTGGTATTACCTTCAGAATATTATTAAAAATCACGTCATTCAATGCCAGACACTTAACATCGTGGCAAACCCTTGCCAGACACCCTTTTCATGAAATCATAATTCTACTTACGTTATAGTATAAAAGCTGATTTTTATATATAATACTTGGGTAATAATTAGATGATTTATAAGACTGCTACCATAGCATTTATTACACACCATGAAAAATGTTCCAAACAAGTTGGAAGGCATTTCTAAGAAAATGTTGCAAATGGTCACCAAATTTGAAGCGCTGAGAATTGACTTTATTTTCGATACCAAAACGAAACCAAAATGAATTTAGATCGGTATTTTACACACCTTTAGTTCCTTGTACCTGCCAAAGCCACCATAGCCTGAACTTCATAATGGTCCATCGTTCTTATCTGTGTTGAGAGCATGCGCTGAGAAACTTTCAGCTTTTATAAAATGACGAAGGTCTGGCATTCACAGGCTCTTAGGCCATATATTTCTACCATAAAAAGAAATACGACAAGATATATTTTATCTTATAATCCTAAAATAATTTCTATAAGTTTTACTCAGTTACTCCTTTTGAAATCAGCTATCTGCCAATAAAAATCCCGTCAAAATCAGTCCAGACATTTCGGAGATTAGCCGGAACAAACAGACAGACAAAAATTAAAAAAAGGTTTTTTTATTATAAGTACCGTATATAATTTAATATGCATTTAGTAAAAAGCTTTGTTATTTTGACATTACAAACATACACTTCTATTTTATTAATCTATATAGACATAAAAGTATGTTGTGGGATTTAATAATAATTATACTCAAAATTAAAAAAATATAAATGAAACTTACGTTATGCAAAATATTAACGGCTAAGTCAGTAAGTGGTATTTTATCCAGATTCCGGGTACTGGAAAACTCATTATTGATCATGATTAGATTAATTTTGCGGTTATCCTCTTTTCTCCATTTCTTTACAGCTGTTTTTAAAGACGCTAATGGAGGATATGACGTTAATATCACAAGCTTTTGATTTAATTGTGTTGCAGTTATTCTTGAAGTAAGTAAAGCAAAATCAGATTCGGAATAAACTGTTATAGGACTAGTGCTAACATTTGATTCAGTGGGACGCCACAACACTAGTTCTAGAACAGTTGACCCTATTCTATGTGCACAAATACTTTGGTACAGGGATGATGGGCGATCCCTCGAAATTTCTGCTTTATACTTCTCATAGTTAACTATAAAAGTATTGCATGTAAGAACTCGGTGTAGCATTTGACACAACTGTGGAATTGTACAAAACCAACAATTAGCATTAAGCTTATGAAAATATCAAGTATAATAAATATAGCCATAGACATAGACAATTAACTGTGTGTTAGCCTGAAAAATCTGACTACTCTGTAAAACATGACAATATCACTAAGTTTAATTTAATTTTCCATTTTTCTCAAGAGTCTCTAAAGGTTTCAAGAAATTATTTTTTACAACAATTTTGATTATCTAAATCTATGGGTGGAGTCAAAGTTTTAAACCAACTTACATCATCATTATTTGACAGCTTTGACACTAATAGCAAATCAACTTCACTCAATAAAGCAGTATTACTTGATTTAAGACTATCTAGTGTAATTACTGAATAATTCGCCTGTATTCCAGGAATTTCGGAGAGGATTTGATTAGTATCAACAAAATCAGAGACATTATTTTCAATAATTTCCACAACATTTAAATCGTGTTTATTTAAATATTCAGCAGATATTTGTATATAAGTAGAGAGTGCTGACGCTTTCTGAAAAATAATATAATATTTATAATATGGCTGTTGCTATTCATACTTAAAACAAGGACGAATAAAAAATAATTTTGTGTGATGAGCACGAAGGTTTGTACTCCAGTCATGGGTATTTGTATTTATAATATGTATGTATTTAAAGTTTTATATAATACATAGTGTATCAACTATCTAGTATTCATAACACAAGCCTAGTAAGATACTATGGATCTAGATGGTGCTGTGTATTAATGTCCCAACATATTTATTTATTATTTAATTATATTTGTTGCTATTCGTCCGATAATCGAACGAAATATATTATACGTCCGACTATTGTCGATTTGTAGGAAAATTTAACACTTTTTGTTTTCTAATATAAAATAAGTGATTTTTAGATGCAGGAGTTTATGGTTGCAAAAAAAAATAACCTTAACCTACCCAGCCGAATTTAGCTATATACCTATCGTACTTAATTATTTATTAGTCTATTCGTCCTTCCTTATAATTTATAGATTTTATAAAGAACGAATATTTATTTTTATTCGTCCTATTAAAGGACGAATAGACACTCCGTTATAATATTCTTATTGAAAATGCATCTGTGTTTATAAAAAAAAAATATTATTATACATACATCAATGGTGTTTGTAGAAAAGTGAGGAACAAATTTTAAAGCTTTTATTCCAACATTTTTACAGATAGTTGGTAAATCATGAAATCTTATATTTTGCATGATTATACCACCGCACCTAAAACAGATATATCATCATAATAATATTAAAAAAATATATAAAATGTATAAATTATAGGAAAATTGAATAAAATAACTATACCCATAAATATATCATACCTTGTATAATCATGAACATCAAATATCCTCGCAGGAGTAACTTTTATTCCATGTATTTCATACATTTCATCAAAATGCTCATTTACGTTAATTATAATTTTTCTTACAAAATGTGGCTGAGAAACTGTTTCGTGAATTCTTCTGAGCGCATTTAATTGTAGCATACTGTCAATCATGGCCACCCAATTGTCTTCCCATTTTATATTAGCTTCAGACAATGACAAACTAGCATTGTAAATACTACGAAATACACCCCTGAAAATTTAATATTTTATTAAAAAAGAAGTTGTAGCACAATTTTAAAATATTCCTTCAATTTGTTAGGTTACTTACGAATAATTATAATCCCTTAGAGATAAGAGTTTATAAATATCATCTGATTTAAGTTGCATTTCTTCCTTACAATTTATATTAACTTTGTCTTGACTGTCTTTTTTTATTTCCCCAGTTATATAACCTGTTGCGATTTTAGTACTTTCATCTAATACCTAAATTATAAGAAAATTATAGATAATTAATATGCTTATTTAGAAGAATCATAACGTAAATGAATTAAACGATATTTAAATCTACTATCTTACTTCAAAACGGCCATTTCCTCTGTGTAAAGCTATATTTAAACGCAAGTTTCTCTGTTTATGAAGAATTGGTTGTGTAAAAAAATGTATATCAGTAAATTGGACTGACAACTGTTTCTTCTCTACTCCTAAGACCATTGCCAATGTGTCCCAAACTCCTACGAGTGCTCCAGAAAATGGATACAAGTTCCTTTCTAAAATTAAAAACGTTTATTATTTACGCAGAAATATTATTATTATGTACCCAAATAAAAACATTTTATTAGTATTAACAGGAGTTTCAAATTAAGATATTATAATAAATATATATAATATAAAATAATAAAATAAAAGGAAATATATTTTTTTCTATTATCACCTCTTATGACGTGGCCTTTTAAATATGCGTGATCGTCATCATATGTGGATATCACAAATTTTGTAGCAGCAGCTATTTTTCTATGTGCTGATGCATACAAAGGTAAACTCCTGTAACATTTATTTTGTTTATTGTATTAAACTTTAAAAATATATTGGAAAACGTGCTAAGTATTCCCTGTATATATGAAAGTTTAAGTAAATTATCAGTACAGTATACATCATGATATTCGATCTATGTTATATATATTATAAATAAATAATATATAACTATATGAATTAAAAATGTCACAATACTAAAAAGTGAAACATAGTTTGATAATCAAATTCAAATTATGACTAATACGGGTAGTTTACATTTACCAGTAATTAGGTTCACAAATTCTTAATTATAATAGGTATACAAACAGCTATTCATATTTACCATTTTTCATTATGAGCCCATTCCACTAAATGTGATAACATTGGTGTTCCAGTCGAAACAGGATACTCAATTTTAGGATACAGAACTTCCACTTTAGGATTAAATCCATCCATATAAAGTCTGTTAATACAGATATATTAATTAATAACACTGACATATTATCGACATTAAATATCTACATTTTATAAAAGTTTAAATAAATGTTACTAACTTTCCTATAGCTTCTAGCAAGAATAGTGCATTGTCCACGTGACCACGCCTAGTGAGTGGTATGTGCCGACATGAATCAGGTAGAGACCGCTTGACGATGGCTTGCAACAAACCATGTGGTGCGATCTCGATCACCACTGCATTAGCTGGGATTAACCGGGACGTCTCCTCAAAGAGCACCGAATTCTGCATGGAACATTTTTTATATAATAATGATATCAAACTATTAAATATTATATTTTAAATACGTTTTTTAAACTTATAAATTTTATTTATAATTCATGTTCTTTTTATTTTATCTTAACCGAAAGTAAATATTTTATTACAGAATATTACTTACCAATAAATTATTTGTATGATACTCAGCTGAGGAATACTTAGCAATTTCTTCTCCCCATCTTTCTTTTGGTACCGAAGTTGACACCCATTTTTCACTACGAGGCTTTGGAGATTTGATGACTTCAGTTAAATATTTAAGTAAGCCGGGACCTTAATAATAAAAGCATAAGAAATGACTCATATTTATTTGAGTGATTATTTATTTGTAATGTATGTGAATAAATATGTTATTATAATTTGCATACTTTACCTGCTTCAGCAATATAGCGCGAGTGATATGCAATATTTGAACATGGCACCTCTTTAGCGAAAATACCTTTGGAAGTTAATTGGGCTACAAACTCTTTCATTACAATCGCTGGTCCTGAGATAGTACTTGAGTTAGGACCGTTATGACATGCTACTTCTATTTCTGGAGGGCACATTTTAACTATCTATAGGAAAGAAATATTAGTATGAGTTCAATCTATTAAAAAATAATGCAAAATTAAATATATAAAATGTAGTTCCTTAATATTGTTATATTTACCTGTTGGTATCCAACACCGACGGCAGCCATTGATCCTCTTATGAACGGTGTTTGCAAAGATACTAGACCTCGACTATAAGCAGATAAAATCATCTCTTCTGCTGTTAAACAACCATCAGCGTATGCACATCCTAATTCCCCCACACTGTGTCCTGATAAAAATTAAAATAATATAAAATTCAGAATAACTCTCGGAGTTCTCAAGATCATCATCAGTAATATCTTAAGAATTAGAATAAACTTTCTCTGGAAATATAATACCAGAATATTAAATACCTATAATCATATCAGGGAAAATCTCCAATTCTCTTAAGACATCGGTAAGCCCTATTTGAATTGCTGCGATTCCAACAAAAGAGTGTAAGATATTATCAAATATTGTTTTTTCTGTGGAAGTTATGATATGTACTATATCAATTCCTTTAGGTTCAAGAGCTCGACGACAACTGTAACATAAAAAAAACATCAATTTTTATTTTTCTGTGATTTTAGTTTGTTGTATTAAAAGTATTTTTTATGTAATATTTTGTTTACCGTTCGATAGCTGCAGCAAAAACCGGTATGCGCATAAGTTGTGTTCCCATTCCAGCCCATTGCGATCCCATTCCACTGTACATGAACCAAAGTGGTCGTTTGACATCATCGAAGTAGTCAGATTTTTCACATAAACTAACTGTTTTACCTTTTTCGTTTGTATCTTAAGTATAAAGAGATATAAAGGTTGATATAATATATTTTAGCAATTATTGAAAAAAAAAATGCTGGTCATAAAATAGTATGATATCTTACCAAGAATCGTGTATCCTCTACCCAAGTGACCAAAAATTCTACTTTTGTGAATATTTCGAAGCAAAGCTAACTCCTCGGGGTCAACGGGACGTATTTTTAGATCGTTCATTATTTTTATTACTGATGATTCTTGTCTTCCTGAGAGTGTCACTAATTGTGGAATAGTAGCCTTGTAACAAGATAGATCCTTAAACGGAACATTAAATTGTTTAATTACTTTAATAATTATCGTTAATACTAGGGTTAATCAAAAAGTTCTTAGAAACGCATATATATAAAACCTTTTTGGGGATAGTTCGATATTCGTTTTAAAGAGTATTAATTAAACAATATTTATGCCATGACCATCCTCTCCATCCAAAAAAAAAATTCGAGTTGCTCCTACCGCTGGCAAAGTTATGACCTGAGTGTTCTGTAAAATCGAAGGTATTCTTTTTATTGATTACATGCGAAAACACCAGACGATTACTGGACCCTATTATGCAAATTTAATGCCGAAAGCGCGTGAAGGAATTAAAGAAAAACGTTGTCGAAATCGTGTTGTTTCCTCATAATAACGCATCCACCCATCGATCGGAAACTGCGCTCAATGCAATTCGCTGTGCTGGCTTCAATCTCCTTGACCACCGACCATATTCTCCGGGGTTTATCTCCTAGTGATGTTCACTTATTCCCAAAACTAAAAGATCATATTCGTAGAATTAAATTTCACGATGAAGACGTGGTCATGGCTGCCGTAGACGAGTTTTTTAGAAGTCGAGAAGAGAAAAAGGTTTTTTTTTTCGCAAGGAATAATAAAGTTACAAAACGTTATTCTATATATATTGCATTAGAGGAAAATAATGTAGATAGAAATAAAATAAATTAGACGTTATTTTTCCCCAATTATCAGCAACTTATTTGCATTGGATTTAAGATGCATCTTAATCATGTCATATTAAGTACAACAAAACTCGCAAAGTAGTTACTATATGATAACTACGCATATTCAAGAAAATATGGAATACGATAGGATAAATTTCCTTCCCCCCCAACGTGCATTCACCTTGTCGTGGTCGGAGGGCTCAGTAGTGCCCGGCAACCCAACCGGGCGCGAAGCCAAGAAACGCACAGGGAGGTGGCCCACTTCGGTGGGCGGTGGGAGGCGGCCCTCTTTGGAGGGCGGTGTACCATGCGGGTTACTCCTGGTACTTCTCTGATAGCAGAGTGGACCTTGGAGCAATCCCGTGGTTGTAGTGGTCTGCTTTGGCAGACCTGCCGTCGGGGCGTCGTAGTTGAATGCGTAAGCGATCCTGCGACGCCCCATTAAGACGGGGGAAGGCTTTGTTGGGTTTTAGTGGGTAGTACTGGCTTTGCCGGTGAGTCCCACACCTCGTGCGTAAATGCATTTCCCAACGTTAAAAAAAAGGATAAATTTCCTTGTAAATAGTGGAATAAGTATTCTATTTTTATGTTATTTACATAAAAATTCGTCGAATTTCTTTTTGAATATTTGTTTAACATAATACCTAAATAAATAACCAAGAGTTACTATCTGTAAGGTATTTTGGCAAGACTCATTAAATTAAAAGTGAGGTTACATCATATACCTTTTGCTTATAATGGCCTCTTAGTAAGATGTGCGAGTTGACACCTGTGACCGACAGGCCGTTTACAGCTGTGTATGAGTGGTTGAAGTCCATATGATCTGTGACAATGCACATTCGACCATCACGGAGTGCCGCAACATCTTGTCGCGGTGAATCACAATGTAAATTCGCTGCGATCTTTCCAGTATGATAAGCCAGGAGAACCTAATTTTTTAAATACAATATTTCTCAATAATAACCAATAATGAATAATACTTTAATTTTACTTTTTACTTCGCTAAGCTTACTTTAGTAATAGCGCATATCCCTGAAGCAGCTTCTGTATAACCAATGTTAGACATGACACTTCCTACTTTTAGGGGATCACTTCTATTTATGCAAAAAACTTCATCAATCGATTGTAATTCTGATTTATCAGCTTCAGCAACAGCTGTAAATTTGTAAGTATATTTAAATATGAATATTATAATTAAAGAATCTATAAATATTGGATTTATGTTACCCAGATTTATGTGCTACTTATATAACTATTTTACCTGTACCAACCGCTTCAACATATTCCACTACATCTGGTGAAACGTCAGCTTCTTGATAGAATTTTTTTAAAAAATCAGCCGAAATGTTAGGATTTCTGTAGAAACCGTATTTTGGACCACTTTCATCTTCTTCTAGTTGAGTAAACTCACATTTAATATAAGCAACTTCTGCATAAACTCTGAAATATGTGGTAAATTTTTTTTACTATTTTTTTCCCGTAATCAAATGGATTAAATGGTAATTTTTTGTGAAGTTTACTTTTCTTATTGATTTTATAAACATAAACAATTTTGACATGGAAACATACCTTAGTGCATCTTTAGCTTTTTGCAAGAAAAGAACATTGATTGACTCCGATTTAGAACATCCAGCGGGATTACTATCAAATGATTTTGTTTTACCATCCATACTTAGTTTCATGATTCTGAAAAACATTTATTTATGAAAGTATAAACATATACATAAAATGTTTGAAGTTTCTTTTTAAAACATATTATACACATATATAGGTCAATTCTATTATATTTTTGTCAATTTTTTTTAATAATAATTATGGTCAAATTTTGACCACCAGACGAACTGAACATACTCGATGGTTAAATAGGTGGATAGTCTGCTGACTAAGCTAGTAAAAGCATGTACATAGAATAGTAAAATATTCGTATAAAATTCCCATTCCAATACGGATAAGAGGCTATAAGATAAGAGGCTCAAATCTTAAATAAATGCAACTAAGAACCATACTAACTAAAAGCATAAGAAGTGTACAACCACTCAAATGTCCATTTAAGTCACTTGTACAGTAATTATTAAGCGTACATTTCTTTTGCATATATAATTAAGTATATCACCTCCAGGTAAATTTCTAAGAAATTAATTAAATTTCTAAGAAATCTATTATTAACTGTAACGCCGGCGTGTCCGCGGTCGTTGAGGAAATATTTGTATTAGTTCTTTATTGTAAAAAAAAACTATGTTTATATATGGGAATAAAAAAAGCTGTCACAGATAGATACAAACATCGAACTGACCCTTTTCGGTTTATGTAGTACAAGCGACTCACTTATTTATTTATTTGTTGTAGTTATTTTTATCATAATTATCTTATATTTTTAAACGAGCAATTGTTGTATATATAATCTGAATCTCGGAAAAGGCTTCAACAATTTTCATAAAACTTAGTGTACAGGGGGTTTCGGAGGCGATAAATTGATCTAGATTAGTTTTGTCTGGGAAAACGTGTGTTTTCGAGTTTTCATGCGGTTTTGTTTCGCACGCAATTATTATATGTTCGCTAATTCGCACGCTAGGACATAAGAATCGTGGTCAAGCGGACAAGGCGCAAGTTTGACAACCACAGGTGTCTGGGTTCGTATCCCGGTCGGATACAAAGTTTTTACTTTTGTTTTTTTTTGTAGTTTTTCATTTTTTTAATGTTTTTATGGGCGAGTGAAGCTCGGTGGCCCAGGTACTATTATCTTATCAGACATATAATCTACTTTCAGAATATGTAAAGAAGAGATCAAATCGCATAATATATCTATTTTAGTTTTTAGGGGGCGGAAATGAGGTCATATCGATACCCTTCCTTTCATATAAATCGGTTCTGTAGTTTCGGAGCATATTTGGTACAAACAAACAATTCTTTCCTCTTTATAATATTAGTATAGGTAATATAGCTTTAGTTGTTCTTATTAACTATTTGAATAAAGTTATAATGTTCGTTTTATTATTACCTCCCATAGTGGACAGAGGATTGTGGATGCAAGCACAGGTTGGCTCCTCCAACAATTGCAGCATCACATTCTCCACGAGTAATAGCGAGGTAAGCCTGCTCGAGTGCACCAGTAGAACTGCAGCAAGCTTCATCAATAGCCATAGATGGCCCTTTGGCATTCAGCCAGTACGAGATTCGATTGGCAAACATTGTTTTACTACATCTGTAAATATATAATGGTATTCCTTACTATTTAAACTATAAATCTATACATATAATAAAATTGTTACTAAACCGAATTTGTACTTTAAATATTTTTTGGAAAATCTTATTGAAATAATAATTATTATCGATACAGAAGCCGAATTTATAGTTTTTAGATTTTTTGTCTGTCTGTCTGTTACCGCATCATCTAAGAAAAAATCATCTGTCTCATTTCTGAGAAAAAATACAAAAACTGCAATGTATACTAATATGTAAAACCTAAGAATTTGGTTTTTTGGTCATCTGAACGAGGGCGCAGTCGCGGGCAATGCTAGTAATTTCATAAAAACTAAAAACCCGTAAATCAATTTCATGAAAAGATACTAAAGTTTTATAGTGAAAATATTAATTTTAATTGTATATTCTTTAGCCGGAAAAAATCTTCAAAATGATGTCTCAGTCATAAATCTTTATAAAGTATTAAAGAAGATATAGCGTACCAACAGAAACAGCTTTGAAAAATAGTAAATAATATGATGATTTACAAAAGTACTCGTACATCAAAAAGAAAGTTTCACCGTTATCCAAACAAGCAAACACAAATACGTAACCTTCAAAGGTTACACATTATGAAACAGGTATAATTTTGCATTTATCATATAACTATCAAACAGCTAAAATAAATAAGTAATATAATATGTATAAGTATGTGTGTTTGTATGTGTGTTTGTTCCTTCTTCATGAGGATGTATTTGGAGTTTGGTTTTACACATAGATACACCTGAGTTTAGAGTAAAATCTACATTCAGCAACATTTATAAATCGGTAAATTCCACTAAATTATTTAACTGACTGAAGGAAAGACTGCAAGTGAAAATGAATGATCGGCGTTCATAGCCACACCTACCCTGCAATACCAAAACCTGTTCTAGAACTTGCGACGTAAAAACAAGCTTTTTCGGTTTCAGAAAAGCAACTGCCAACATATACGCCTACTTTTTTCCCGGAGAGTTCCACTGGGCTGATTCCTACAAAGGACGGGCACAATTTCAAATATACAATATTATATTATTTTATTGTATGTATATATTCAACCCTTTTCAACATCCCACTGCTGGACATGGGCTTCCCTTCAATAGAGGTGAATCAGACCACAGTCCACCACACTATCCAAGTGCGGATTGGCGGACTTCACTTGTCTTTCGAAAACTTGCTAGGTTCTCTCAGACATGCAGGTTTCCTCACGATGTTTTCCTTTCTCCAAGTGATAATCATGTAAGAAATGCACATGAAAATATCAAAGGTGCGAGATTCGGGATTTGAACCAGCTTCACTCGGTTTCCCAAGCGAGCGAGTTACCACTTGGCTACCACTGTCTCTATTTATTATTTTATTAATTTATTTCAACTCAGCCAATACAAATATATGTCATAAAAATTAAACGAAAAAGCGAAAAAAAAGTATCATGTCTACTCCTCAGGAGTAACTATAAAAATATAAAAAGCTGCAGTTTAGTATATGGGACGCGGCCTCTGGAGGAGTGGGTGGTATTTTTTGATAGAGGAGTCTAAATATATAAAATTTATTTTGAGGAAACGAAAGAGTTAAAAGTTATTGAGACTTAAAGTTACAACATTTCTATACATAATTATGACATTACTGCACTACACTTCGCTCCCGCCTTAGGCTTCTCAACCTAAATTATCCAAATCGGATCTATCACCGAATTTAAAATTAATATAAAGCACTTATAATAGCAGGGGATCTGGGTTTGAAATAAAAAAAAGAACTAACGAGAAACAAACACTAAGCGTAGCGTAGCTCCCACCTTAGCCTTCTTAACCTAAATTATCCAAGTCGGACTGTCACTTAATCGAAAATAATTAATACATTTAGATTAAAAAATAGTCTACTTACGTTTTTAAATTATATGAGTACACTTAAAACAATACTAATACTATTAAAACAAAAACTAGAAACGAGCGTATACGAAAAGAAAATAATATGAAAAAAAATTACTACGAAAAAGAGCAAAAAAAAAATGTAAACCTGAACGCGTTTAATGAATACAGATCGTATTCACATAAACTATCGAACTATTTTACCCGTCAAAAATACTGAAAAGTATTCACACATAATAAAATCAAATAAAGATTTTAAATTTTTTTGCTAAATATAAATTAATCATAGAAATCAATATTTTACATAATAAATAAAAACTCGTAAATGTATGCATGAATTGAAAATAACATATTTCTATTTTAAAATCTTAGTATTCTAATGCCAATTTTCACTATTATTTTTTTGTATGAGTCTTACCTAATTATTACGCGATAATTTGTTGTCCTGAAAGCGGTATATATAACAGATTGACAGTTTTGTAAAAATTTAAGAGTAGGTAATTTGTTAAGATCATTGTTTTTAGTGAAATTATCAAAATATTAATACAATAAAGTCTTAATTGTTATGAAAATATGGATTTTACACGAAAAAGGACATTTACTATTCGTTAAAGGTTTGTTTTTTGTAATGACTTATTTAGGTATTCAAATGTATGGAAATGTTCTAACTTTAAGTCTCCATAACTTTTGACTCCTTCGTTTCCTCAAAATAGTTTTTATATATTTGAACTCTCTATTACCTTCCCTATCCAAAAGTACCACCCACTTCTCCAGGGGCCGCATCCCATATACTAAACTTGTGCCAAGTAAAGTCTAACTAAAAACAAAATATTTATTATGATTTAAAAGGCATGACAAATTGACTTTACATACATTCAATACCTCCAGGTAAATTTTTAAGAAATTAATTAAATTTCTAAGAAATCTATTGTTAACTGTAACGCCGGCGTGTCCTCTGTCGTGGAGGGATTAAACTTACCAGCATCAAAAATGGCTTGGTAGGCCTGTTCTAAAATTTTACGTCCCATTGCGTCCATATTGTTTCCTAAGCGATAATGGACTATAAAAAATTGTGCATCAAATGACGACAGCCCAGGCACTTTCCCAGTGTACTTAGCGACTTCAGGATGATCATATTGCCAGCGACATTTTTCCTCATTAACAGGATTGATCTATCGGTTAGCAAAACATGATAAGTACTTAAATTCTTAGTCAACATTATATATATAGTCTGGCCATAAATACTGTTACAATTAAACATAAAAAAACATTACATTTGAATTTGGAATCTGTTATTTTTATATGATTGATAAAACACAATGAATTTCTCATTTTCGGGCCAATACATTGTAAAATATTTCGTGATATTAAATTGGAGTGGGGCGATTAAGAGAACCGAATCGCTGTGATTGCATTACACAAAATAGGTATGGAGCCAAATTCAATTTTTAAAACTCTCAAAACGCTTGGTATTAGTCAAATGTTTGTTTACCGGGCTATTGATAGGTACAATGAAACCTCCTCTGCTTGTGACAGAAAAAGATCTGGCCGTCCACGTAGTGTTCGTACCAAAAAGGTGATCAAAGCAGTAAGGGAAAAAATTCGAAGAAACCTGTCCAAAAGCAAAAGATTTTATCTCGGGAGATGAAGATAGCACCTAGAACCATGTCGCGTATTTTAAAAGATGACTTAGGACTTGAAGCCTATAAGCGATGCACTGGTCATTTCTTAACTGATAATTTAAAAAAGAATAGGGTGGTAAAATCAAAACAACTATTTAAGCGGTACGCAAAGGGAGGTCACAGAAAAATTTTGTTTACGGATGAGAAAATTTCTACAATTGAACAATATTTTAACGAACAAAATGACTGTATTTATGCTCAAAGCTCTATGGAAGCTTCCCAATTAGTCAACAGAGTACAAATTAGGCATTATCCGACTTTCAGTAATGGTTTGGTGGGGTGTTAGATATGAAGGAGTGACTGAGCCATACTTTTGAGAAAGAGGTATCAAAACATCGGCACAAGTGTATTATGATACCATTCTTGAGAAGGTAACTAAGCCCCTCACAAACAAAAAAAAAAGACCATTCAAAAACAGAGGACAAACTGAAGTATTTTATCTTTGCCTATTTATACATACACGTACCTTATTATATAAAATATTTGATAAATCCTTCACGTTATGGGATTCAGGATATAACCCTGACATTCCCGTTATGAAGACTTTATCTGCAGATTTTCCACTTTCCATCTCTGGCTCCACAAAAGTTTTATTTGCGTCATTGAATGCCATTATCTGAAATACGAAGAAAATATTTTTATCTTTATTTAACTAACTGCACTGTTAGTTTAACTAGAAGGAAGAACTCTTGTTATTATTTTTATATTTTATAACATGGGCTTAAAATTTAGTTTTGATTATAACTGCTAAATTTTAGTATCAAATATATACAAATAAAAAAAAAAGGTTAAATAGAATTCTTTGAAAACGACTACTAACAGCAACAGAAATTTCTCTAACAGATTTTTCTAGTCTGGATTAGCTTTATATAATATTGGTGCATTCATTTAAATTTTTGTATATCAATTTAATTTATTTAACCTTTACATGCTAGCTATTAGAATTCAATTTGGGAGTATAAAATATTCGGTGGTCATAAGCCTACAATATTTTGAATTTACCATTTAAATATGAATAGAATTGAAATGGTTGCTTACTACTTAAATATATTAATGCGAAAGTTTGCTTGTGCGTATTTTTGTTACATCACGCTGGAATGGCTGGACGGTTTTCGATAATATTTAGTTAAATCTATGCATATAATAAAATTGTAACTAAGCCAAATCTGTACATTGAATATTTTTTAGAAAATCTTATTGAAATAGACTTTATTATCGATACAGAGGCCGAATCTATAGTTTTTAGAATTTTTATCTGTCTTTCTGTCTGTCTGTCTGTCTGTTACCGCATCACGGGAAAACCACTGGATAGATTTTGATGAAATTTGGTATGATAATAGCTGGTTATCCGGGTCAACATATAGGATACTTTTTACTGCGGGAAAATATACAAAAACTGCAATGTAAGAGTATACTAATATGTAAAACATAAGAATTTTGTTTTTGGTCATCTGAACGCCGGCGGAGCCGCGGGCAATGCTAGTAGACTATAATATATAATATGTAAGTGGTGAGTATATGAGTCGTGGTTATGTGCATAGTGAGTATTTAAAGTGTATTATTATGGGTTAAATAGTATGCGAAAATGTATGATAAGTAACAAAATTTGTAGATATGTACGCTGTAGGTAGGCATATTTTTGAGTAATTATTATTTGTATACAATAGGAGCACAGTAAATATAACAAGACATAGAAAATCTTTAGTATTCCGACTTTATATTTAAAATCTGAATTTAAAATATAATTGTATAAAGGTATTGTATTACTTCAAAATACATAAATTTTCAGAAATGTATGCGTTTTATACTTATGATGTAATTTATATTTTGTAGTTGTATAATTTATATGATAATGTTACAGTTTATTTTTCTTTATTTTTTTGTTGAATGTAAAAATGTATTGCTACTCTATTAGAGGAATATTATGATGATTTACGTACAATAAGAACATATTTAATAAAAATCGGGCCAAAACGTCGGCGAAATGAGTCGTTACATATTAAAAAATTAGAAGAAGCACGTACGAATTATTGAAATTCAGTTTAGGAGGAAAATAACAGAAATAAATGAATTAATTAAACCTCGAGTTATGTAACCCAATACGTGGGTTATTTAGATATCCTTCTCGGAAGGATCTTATATTATTGAATGTATCGTCTTTTTAGATCCTTCTTAAAGGGATATTTTATTATAAGCAATGTACATGTAAAACAATTGAATATAATGTTTTTTTAGATAGGGATCATATTATTATTATTATTATTATAAACAATGTACGTGTAAAACAATTGAGTTGTAACAGATAGCAAGCAATTACGCATAAATAGTTTAAGGGTCCTTTTTTTGTGATGGGAACCCACTCACACTACCGACTCATGTTCCTATAACACCTTAGAAAATCAGTTAATAAAGTTAGTTGTAGGTACCTATCCTTTCGACGAGAAACATTGTTTCATTACAACCCACGTCCCGATAGCTTAACTCTCGTAAGCCCGAAGATTTACTTTTAATTGATAATATTATACAAAATATTAAGTCAATTTAATATAACATTATAACTAGTTTATTTTCTGAATACACTTCTTCTGGAAGTGATAGCATTAGCTCCGCCAGTGATAGTGAAGTTGTAAAAAATATGGAAACTTTTAATTTAAAGACGGCAGTTTCCTTGCTGCCCATAATGAATGATAAGGAGAAGTAACCTTCTCGTTATCATTTAATCCCTCCACGGCCGCGGACACGCCGGCGTGTCAGTTAACAATAGATTTGTTTTCGATAATATTTAGTTAAATAGACTATATATAATATGTAAGTGGTGAGTGTATGAATAGTGATTATGTGCATAGTGAGTATTTAAAGTGTATTTTTATGGGTATAAGAGTATGTGAAATTGTATGATTTGAGTAATTTTTATTTGTATAACACATTATTTAGAAACAAATGTAAGGAGTTATTATTCTGTTATGATAAGAATACAATAACATTTGTATACAATAGAAGCACAGGAAATATAACAAGACAGAAAATCTTTAGTATTCCGACTTTATTTTTAAAATCTGAATTTAAAATGTAATTGTGTAAAGGTATTGTATAACTTCAAAATACACTAATTTTCAGAAATGTATACGTTTTATACTTATAATGTATTTTATATATTTTTGCCTCGGTGGTGTAGTGGCTAACATATATGGCTGCACACCCGGAGGTCCTGGGTTCGAGTCCCGGGTCAGTCCAAGTTTAGTTATTGAGTCTTTCTGTATATTAAGCCTCAGTAACAGCCCGGAGTAGGGAAGTTGGAGGTGTTTCACCCCCGTGCCTCGGAGAGCACGTAAAGCCGTCGGTCCTGCGCCTTAACTCTCACTGGTCGTGTCGAGTGGTCGTCCCACCAGAGTATGAGAGTGACAGGAATAGAGAGTGCACTTGTGTCTGCGCGTACACTTGTGCACTATAATATCTCCTGCGCAGTTGGCTAGTCTCAATGAAATTGGCCGCCGTGGCCGGAATCGGTCAGGAGAACATCATGTACAGCTTCTGCCCACAACTTTTTGGGTAAATTTTTCGCATACATCATTGTCATCATGTTCTGTTCTCCCTTTCTGCCTTTCCATTTTGCTCCGGTGTGTATGGTACAGTCAGTTGATGTGTTATACCACGACTTGAGAACACTTCTTTTACCTCCTTATTTGTGAATTCCAAACCATTGTCGCTTCTATATATCTTAACCTTATTACCTGTCATATTTTGAGCCTTATTTAGAAAATCTTCAATACAGCTCTTTATTTCGCGTTTATTTTTGACAAAATAAACAAATCTGAAGTTTGAGAAGTCATCTTTCATTAAAACAAAATACTTCGATCCGCCTAGCGAGGCTTCTTCCATCGGGCCACACGTATCAGCGTGTATCAATTCACATGTCTTTGTGCTAATGTAATCACTTCTTGAAATTGGTAATCGGTGAATTTTTCCTTGTAAACAATTTTCACATTTGGGAACCGATTTTTGTTTGATGTCGATGTTGTTTTTCTGCAACACTTTCTAGATGTATTCAAAATTTTGATGTGCTAATTTTTCGTGCCACATATTTAAATCATTCAGCTCTGATTTAACAACGTTTGTTACACAATAACCATTTCCAATTCGATTTGCAATCGCATACACGTCGCCGTATTTGTAAAATTTGCAAAAGTTTTCATCTGTCATCATGACATATCCTTTATGGGTAGCTCGATTGACAGAAAACAAATTAATTTTTAAGTCAGGAAGAAAAAAAACGTTATCAATGGTTGTATCGATCCATTCATCCGTTTTGCACCTGCACTGCCATCTGTCCGCATCCTAACACATTAATTGCCACGCCGTTACCAACTGTCACCATCTTTTGCGAATGATTTGTAAAATGCGGAAATAATGTACGATCACAGCACATATGTTTATCTGCACCAGAGTCTACAAGCCACTTAGATTCTTGATATTGTCCATACACTGTATTAGACACCACAAACGCATTATTCTTTTTCTTTTTCTCGAAATATATAATTTCGGTGTAATGAATCTCACGGGCTTACGCCAAGTGAGAATCATCTCTCTCAATATCAATTAAATAAGTTATTTTATTTATTTTATCTATAAGGGTTATGTCCGGTCTATTGTTGTGGATGGTTTTATCAGTTAATATTGCTCTATCAAAGTACATCTTGTAATTGTTGCTCTCCAAGACTGGTTTTGGTGTATATTGATAGTATGGCTGGGGTTTATCTTGTATTAATTTATGTTTACTGGCTAGTTTTTGGTGAATCATATGGGCTATTTGATTATGCCGATGAGTATAATCCGTTTGGGTAAGGCTAGGACAGGCACTGGTAATATGTTGTATGGTTTCTGGTTGGCGATGACATTTCCGGCATTTATCACTTTTTAAGGTTGGATCTTTAAGAATGAACTTTTTATAATTCCTCGTATTAATTACCTGATCTTGTATGGCAATAATAAAGCCCTCTGTCTCTGGAAAAAGGTATCCTAGCTTTAGCCACTGATTGGATGCTTGTAGATCTATGTGGTTTTGTTCGAGGTCATGAATATGTCTGCCATGTAACTCTTTGCTGCGCCATTTTGTTAGTTTTTCTGCTAGATAATCCTGACTTGAAATGAATTCGCGGTCTCTATTATTTAAATTAAGTGGAGTGTAATTAGTGTCGGTTTCTACTGTAGCTAAATGAATTTGAGTAGTTTCAGCCTTACTATAAAAGAAATTTCTAAGATTTTGAATCTGTTTTTCCCATAAAACTCGAATGTCTATCACCCCTCTACCGCCCTTACTTCTTTGCACAGTCATACGTTCTATTGCTGACTTTGGATGTAGATAATTGTATTTTGTCAAAGTGGTTCTTATTTTAATTTCTAATTTATTTATATCTGTAGCTGACCACTTGACTACTCCGAAAGAATATGTAAGTACTGGTATGACATACGTATTTATTGCTTTAACTAAATTTTTAGAGTACAGTGTTTTTTTACAAATTTTATGTAATCGTCTAAAACATTCGTTGCTTAAATCTTTTTTTATCTGTGTATGATTAATTGTTCTACCTTCATGTAAACCTAGATATTTGTAGC